TACATCAGGTAAAATTGCATACAAAAATGTGTCTGTTTTTTTAAAAAAAAATGCTGATGAGTTTTCACAAGAACTTAAAGGGGGAAACCCACAAACTGATATGGGAAAACAGAGGGCTGAATTTAAGATTGGCTTGTCCTGACTTAGACCACTGGTCCATTCTATTTCAATATTGTTAACACTGACTGGAAGCAGCTTTCCAGGGCTTCAGACAGGGAAAAATCTCAGTCCTACCTAGAAGTGCCAGGGATTGAATCTAGAACCTTCTTTGTTCCCCCACTGACCCATGGCCCTTCTCTCCCTCTTAGAACTTTGACCCATTACCAATTTTTAACAACCATGGTTCATTGCCGCCCCCCATATATCTAAATGTGTATTATGGTCCATCCAAAACCATCAACAATTGCATTTACAACATTCAGAAAAGTGTGAGGACTGGGAAAGGGCTGGTTCAATGGGCTGAGTCAATTTTCTTCTAGTCCCTATTAGTGAGTAATGCAAAACTTAAGAGCTTTTACAGTGTATGTTCACATCATTCCGTAAGCTTATGGAAGGCTGCGTTCATGGCAGTTTATTCTGTTTCCCCAACTTTCCCTAACTGTTCATTTCTGCATAATGTTTGAGCTGTCACATGACATAAAAACCACTTCTGGAAATACAGCAGACTCTAGTGCAAGTTTAGCACTCATTTCCATGTTATCTGCAAACGGATTTCTTTCTGGAAGCAAATAACATAGAAATAGATTGGTAAACTTACAGTATATTCTGTTGCATTTCCTGAAGTAGCTTAAAGCATCATGTGAAAGCTCAAATATAATGCATAAATTAAGAGTTATGGAAATATTGGGAAAACAGCATGAACTGCTGTGTGATAGCAGCTCTGCTTATGTTAATATTTTAATAACCCAGGTAGCTAGTGGAGGGGGACCTTTTTATTATCGTTTGGATCCCTGGGAAACTCAACAAACCTGCTGCACCTGGCAATGGGAATGGAGAGTACAGCTGAATGGGACACAGCTGTGGGAAGCCTGAGGCAGTACCATCTGCAAAAGCAAGTCTAGAGTGAGAGACTAGGGTGAGTCCACTGCTTCCAGTAACTCTTCTCATCCTGAGACTTTTGTGGGTGAGCTAAGAGTTTGTTTGAACCCTGGGTAAGAACCTGGAGGCTGAGAGGGAGGGTGTGTCAGAAGGAAGATTCATTTATATCTATTAGTAAATTTGTCCTGGTGTGATATTTTTATATGTAACTGTATATTTTTGTAATGTTTTGCGTATGTTGTCTGTTGCTGCTTCAGTTTTCTGTACGCCTCTCCAAGATATTTTTTAATATATTAATTACGCGGTATAGAGATTAAATAATTCATTAGATGGTCAGTATTCAAAGTGAGGCCATTGATCTATCAAACTAAGCATTATTAGATACAGAGTCGCTTGTTACCTAAAAGGTCTCCAAGCGATTTACGTTGAAACATAAATACGTAGTAAAAGGTAAAGGTAAAGGGACCCCTGACCATTAGGTCCAGTCGTGGCCGACTCTGGGGTTGCGGCGCTCATCTCGCTTTATTGGCCGAGGGAGCCGGCATACAGCTTCCGGGTCATGTGGCCAGCATGACTAAGCCGCTTCTGGCGAACCAGAGCAGCGCACGGAAATGCTGTTTACCTTCCTGCCGGAGCGGTACCTATTTATCTACAGGTACTTGCACTTTGATGTGCTTTCGAACTGCTAGGTTGGTAGGAGCTGGGACCGAGCAATGGGAGCTCATCCTGTCGCAAGGATTCGAACTGCCGACCTTCTGAACGACAATCCCTAGGCTCTGTGGTTTAACCCACAATGCCACCCGCATCCCAAATATGTAGTACCATGGAGAAAAAGAAAGAGTCATATTGTCTGCTCTGGGAACAGCAATGCGGGGGCTTAGTTAGAAGGGACCAGATGGTTAAAGGTATACAGGTCGGAATTAAACATTATAAATTGAGAGCATTTGCAGATGACTTAGTATTGACGTTACAGGAGCCAGAATCTAGTACAAAAAGGGTTTTAGAACTGATTCAAGAATTTGGTCAAGTAGCAGGATTTAAATTGAACAAGTCAAAAACCAAGGTTCTAGAGAAAAATTTAACACCGTTTGAAAAAGAGAGGTTTCAGAATGAGACAGGTTTAACAGTGGTTAAGAAAGTTAAATACCTGGGGATTAACATGACAGCAAAAAAATGGGAATTTATTTAAAGATAATTATGAAAAATGTTGGTCAGAAGTGAAAAAAGATTTAGAAATTTGGTCAAATTTGAAGCTTTCACTGCTAGGCCGTATTGCTGCGATAAAGATGAATGTATTGCCTAGAATGTTGTTCTTGTTTCAAACTTTGCAGATCGTGGACAAAATGGATTGTTTCAAGAGGTGGCAGAAAGATATCTCTAAATTTGTCTGGCAGGGCAAGAAGCCTAGAATAAAATTTAAAATACTAACAGATGCAAAGGAAAGAGGTGGATTTGCCCTGCCAGACCTCAAACTTTATTATGAATCAGCAGCCTTTTGCTGGTTGAAAGAATGGCTACTTCTTGAAAACACTGACATTTTGGACTTGGAAGGTTTCAATAATGTATTTGGATGGCATGCATATTTATGGTATGATAAGGTCAAAGCACATAAAGCATTTAAAAACCACATTGTCAGGAAAGCGCTATTTAATGTTTGGTTAAGATATAAGGATTTGTTAGAAAACAAAACCCCAAGGTGGCTGTCACCAATGGAAGCGAAAGCCTTGAAAAGGTCAATATGGAGGTCAAATGGCCGAAATATTGGGAAATTTTGGAACAAGACGGAGATAGACTGAAATTGCAGAGTTTTGAAAAACTAAAAAACAAAGTGCGAGACTGGCTTCATTATTATCAGATAATGGAGGCATTTAAATTGGACAGGAAAATTGGCTTCCAGGTGGAAAGATCCAAATTAGAAACAGAATTGTTAGAACCCAAAACTAAGAATTTGTCAAGAATGTATAACTTGCTGCTGAAATGGAATACTCAGGATGAAACGGTAAAATCGGCTATGATTAAATGGGCACAGGACGTTGGACATAACATTATGTTTGCTGACTGGGAACAGTTATGGACCACAGGTATGAAATTTACGGCATGTAATGCCTTAAGAGAGAATATTATGAAAATGATATACAGGTGGTACATAACTCCAGTCAAGCTTGCGAAAATCTATCACTTGCCCGATAACAAATGTTGGAAATGTAAAGAAACTGAAGGTACATTTTTTCACCTTTGGTGGACGTGCCCAAAGATTAAGGCTTTCTGGGAAATGATATATAATGAATTAAAAAAAGGTATTTAAGTATACCTTCCCCAAGAAACCAGAGGCCTTTCTCCTGGGCATAGTGGGCCAAATGGTGTTAAAAAAGGATAGAACTTTCTTTATGTATGCAACAACAGCAGCAAGAATACTCATCGCAAAGTATTGGAAGACACAAGAACTTCCCACGCTGGAGGAATGGCAGATGAAACTTATGGACTATATGGAATTGGCGGAAATGACTGGCAGAATCCGTGACCAGGGAGAAGAGTCGATGGAGGAAGACTGGAAGAAATTCAAAGACTATCTTCAGAAACACTGCAAAATTAAGGAATGTTAGAGTGATGTTGGATTGAAAATAAGTGGTTTCCAGCTGTACAGGTTAAAGTTAAGGATAGATTAAGATTAAAGATTAAGATTAAAGATGTTTAAAGAAATGGAAATTTGATAATAAAAGGGAAAAATTTAAAGCTATATGACATTAAGAGTAAGGATTAGGTTTAAAAAAGTTGAAGTTATATATTTTAACATTTTATTAAATTAAAGATTGGGATTAAAAAAGTGGAAAAGAAACTGCTGGACAAATAATGTGGATTGGAATACAAAAGAGGAGGTATGAGGAAGTCCAGAAAATAAGTAATTTAAAATTGGAAATGGAAAAGAGAGTTTGTTTTTAATTGTTATGTTTTGTGTTTTTATTGTTAAGTTTTGTATTGTTTTTTGTGTGTGTTGTTTTTCTTTTTTCTTTGTTTAAAACCTTAATAAAAAATTATATAAAAAAAAAAAGCAATGCGGGGGCTTAGAGGTTTTCGCCAGCCCTGCTATCAGCAAACCTGATGATACCACGGATCGAACAGGAGAACTTTCGTGCGTGACATAGGTTCTCTACCATGGAACGGTGGCCTCTCATATGTACTGCTGTGCTTTGTATACTTTCTCTGTTGAATTCATAGCCTCCTTTTCTGTTTTGTGTTGCATTCTCAATAAACTTAGCTCTCATGCCTTACCCTGAGCCGGTTCATTGGTCCAACTAGGTCAGTAGTGCCTCAAGTGACTGGTTGTGGCTTCCCCAGGCCAGGGGAGTGGGGAGAGGGAATGCTCAGCCCTGCACAAAGGTGCCAGGGGTTCAACCTGGGACCCTCTGCGTGTGAAGGAGATGCTCCACCACTCGGCTGCAGCCCGTTCTCTTCCAGCCACTCAGCCAGCTGACGTTCTCCTGCTGCAGACAAGGATGGAGGCAGCAGATTGGGCAGTGATGCAGGAGTAGGCTGGGCTAGGCAGGGGGACGTGTGGTGACCGCTGACTTTTTGCAGGGAGGAGCAGCTGGGTGTCCTCAGAGGATGATGAAACTGATCAAATATTCCGTTGGCCTCTCTCTATTGATCTGCCTCCTTCTGCGGAGGAGTCCAGTGGCAAAAAACGTCCCTCCCTCTCTCCTATTTCCCTGCCAGGATTCAGATATGCTGCTCTCTGCTTTGCTCCGCCTCCTCCTGCATTCCTGAAGTTAATAAGAGGAAAACCCAGGTAGCTGGAGAGGAATCACACACACAGCGCACAAGTTGTGTCAGTTGTCAGCAATCCATCTTCTTCCTTTCCTTCTCGTCCTTTTTTTTTTTTTAAAGACATTTCCTGCTGCTTAGGAATTAAACCCCCTGACATTCTGAATGAAGCTGGCCGCTTTTCCAGCCAGCCTGCCAGAATGGGCCAGTGCTGCTGCAAGCTTTATTATTGCCTCCAGTGCCTGGACAAGACGGTACTCTGCCTCTTCCTTTTTTCCTACTTAATCCAAAGGGCTGTGACGGCTAGCCTTGTGTTCTCTCTTATTCTTCCTCTAGCTAATGTTGAGAATGTTGCTTTGCAAGCTGCAGCTGACTGGGAAGGAAGGAGGGAGGGAGGGAAGGAAGGAGGGAAATGGGGAGAGGGACTGTGATGATGTCCATCTTTATTTATATAATGTGCTGACTTCTCATTCGCTAGCACCAAACAAAACCGTCAGATTCACCTAAGACTGCAGTGCCTTGCATCATTTCACCCTGCAGTCTAAAACTGAAGCTTTTATGAAGTTTTTATGAAGCAGTAACATACTGGGGACCTACTGGATTTGGAGCTGATTTGATTTGTTGTTTCGCTTTTGTGTTCTGTTAATGTTACCTGTGGAATGCAGATTGGATTGTAGCTTGCATTTTGAGATGTGTGTTTTGCTTGCATGGCAAATATCTGTCTTCTCTTGGCAGCCTCTGCTTTTCATTTGTTAAATTTTATTTTGTTTGCTGCGCTCTTCTCCTGTGTCAGGGGAATGTGGGGTGGAATTGAATTTTTGCGTGTTGAATTGAAATGTGTCATGGATTGTCACTACAGAGTTCACAACAGTATCTACAGGTAGCTGAATGAATCTGAGTTATTTCTAACACACAGCTTGTCATTCTTTACCACTGTGAGCGTTAATTTGGCATTGTGAGCTCACAGATGGAACCAGGTAGAAAATGTGCACCAGCTTTTGATTTGCTTAATAGGAAAGACATTGGCAGAAATACTCGGCTTGGTAGATTTTGTTTGAGGCTGGGATGATCTTGCTAATCCACTGAAAAACAAACTGAAGCTTCCTCTTCTCGATCTGATTATTGGGTTAAAGTATAGCTTGCGGTGTGTTGCCATCCATGTAAAGGAAAATGTATGGCTTAATAAAGAACTCGGCAAACTGTGCACTCTTGGGGAAACGGTGGTGATAAGTTGGGCTTGTAAACTTCAATCTAAAAAGAACAGTGGGGGCAGGGAAGAAGGTGACTGGCTATCTACTGCAGGGGCAGTTTTTTAGATGTTTTATGGGAAAGACAGATGGCAGATCATTTTTAATCCCAGATGCAATAAAATGTGGCTATTGCCTTCCTGGAGAATCAGATGAAATATTTATTAAAGGAGCTATGTGGCTTCCCCCAGTATGCTAAGAAAAGGAAGCCTTTGCTCCGGAGGCATTCCAAATAGTGCAGCCATGACTAAGCAGCACATCCCCTCCCAAACCTGATTAGATTTTGTCAGAGAGGGAGAGAGAATGCTTGAGCCAAAACAGAGTCTACTGTACTTGGAACAAGGAGACCTGGGTTCAGCCATGAACTCTCTGGGAGGCCTCGTCGTTTGTAATGTGTGCATATTAATGACCATAGGGATGTTGTGGGGCTGAAAGAGATAATTACTGTAAACCACTGCAAAGTGCTTGTGGAATAATTAACAGTAATAAATGCAGAGAGTTCAGAATTGGAGAGGGGATGTGACATTGCAGGCATGCTCGATACATGTTTGTCATTTGGAGCATAGAGCATCCCAGGGTAACATCAGGCAGGTTCAGATGACCAGAAGTGGGGTTCTAAGCCATTGAGACCACTTCCTCTTGCAATTATAGCACTGTATGGGGCACAGATGGCGCTGTGGGTTAAACCACAGAGCCTAGGACTTGCCGATCAGAAGGTCGGCGGTTCGAATCCCCACGACGGGGTGAGCTGCCATTGCTTGGTCCCTGCTCCTACCAACCTAGCAGTTCAAAAGCAGGTCAAAGTGCAAGTAGATAAATAGGTACCGCTCCGGTGGGAAGGTAAACGGCGTTTCCGTGCGCTGCTCTGGTTCGACAGAAGCGGCTTAGTCATGCTGGCCACATGACACGGAAGCTGTACGCCGGCTCCAATAAAACGAGATGAGCCCGCAACCCCAGAGTCGTCCACAACTGGACCTAATGGTCAGGGGTCCCTTTACCTTTACTATGAGGAGCTTTCAAGGAGCTCTCCATCATCTGAATCCACCATTAGTAGGGTCTTGATGGAGGTAAAATGTCCTGTGTTGCAATCTCATCCTGGGGCCCTTATGCCAGAGTCATTGGCATTGTCTTGCTGGATCAGACAGTTTTTTGCCTTCTGTTTTGATGCCTCTGAAGCAAGGCGCAAAGAGATGGCCGCTCCCAACAGTTTATACCCACTTGGAAACTTAGTGCCCTTGTTCATGGAGGCTGCATTTAGCAAGTAGCAACCAATGATTTGTCTAGTCCTTTTACAAACCAGTTAATTTTATCACAGTTACCGCTGCTTGTGATACTAGACTACCATGACTGAAAGTGTGGTTGGAAAGAGAACTAGCACCAACACCCAGCATCCTCAAGCAGGGACCATTGCTGCTGCCAACCCTGATTCCCCACAGCAGACAGCTGGGTAATTGATAGGGCCGGTCCTGTCATGCCACAGAAGGAGGCAACTGCCTCAGGTGGCAGATGCAGAAAGGTGGTGAGCAGGCAGAGCCATGCTTCCTGTCCTGCACTTCCTAAGCTAACTTGCTGGTCTCAGGTGAGGTAGAGGCTGCTGAAGTAAGACCCACTTGCCAATCTGGTCTGATAGAATTGGGGGACCAACATCTTGTCCATTGTCCTAGGCAGCAAAATGTATTGAGCTGGCCATAGTACTCTCTCATTACTGCGGGTAATTACAGCCCTCCAGGAGATGGGAATACCCATTGCTAGATTTAATACAGCCTTCTAGATCTTGGACTACAAGTCCCATCACATTGGCTCTGTTGGCTGAAGCTGATGGGACTTGTAGTCTAACAATGTATGAAAGTCATCACATTGAATTAGGAATTTCTAAGGTCAAGACGCGGTTGACGCTGTGGGTTACACCACAGAGCCCAGGGCTTGCCAATTAGAAGGTCGGCGGTTTGAATCCCCGCGACGGGTGAGCTCCCGTTGCTCGGTCCCTGCTCCTGCCAACCTAGCAGTTCGAAAGCACGTCAAAGTGCAAGTAGATAAATAGGTACTGCTCCAGCGGGAAGGTAAATGGCGTTTCCATGCGCTGCTCTGGTTCTCCAGAAGCGGCTTAGTCATGCTGGCCACATGACCCGGAAGCTGTACGCCGGCTCCCTTGGCCAGTAAAGCAAGATGAGCGCCGCAACCCCAGAGTCGTCCGCGACTGGACCTAACGGTCAGGAGTCCCTTTACCTTTACCTTTTTAAGTTCAAGACTAGCACTTAGAAATCTCACATTTTATGGCTCTTTAGCCAACCTGACTGTGAGCATAAAAATTAAAAGATTTTAAAAACAGTCAATCCGTATTGTATGGTTCAGAGCATATTGTTTGAATCAAGACATGTTGGGGTTGTGAAGGCTCAGAACAAAAGTGGTTTCTTTGTTTGCCGATACATTTTAATGAAAGCTTATTATATATGACAACTGTAAATTTAACAGTCTCAGGCCTTTTTGTTTGAGACTTTTATAATACCATGTGTGAGGTCCAAGGTATATTAACATTGCATTCATGGGAGGAAATATTCAAGGGCATTTGCTCATTTTCAAATGAAAGTAACATCTCTGATCTGTGGGTTTTATTTACTGAGACAGAAATCCACAAACAACACCATGATGATGAAGAAGGCTTTTTCATTTCATATCAGCGCAACATTTGCCTGTGCATCACATATATCTACAGCCCACACTTATAAGATAATGGAACATGTCAGGGAATTGTAATATGCTTCACCTCTAAGGTATCCTGAGGTTTGATATGAAGATTAGCTGACACCGAACCTATCCACTTTTTCAGAGAAAGCAAGGTCAGGCATCTAATCCTATTAATCATCAGCTCTTTGTCAAAAAGCATTATGAAGAGTTGGAAAACAAATATTTGTGGCAAAGGGGGGGGAGCCTACCAATAATTGTGAAGGACATTTCCAGAATGGTTAGCACTGTGTTTTGGGTACAGATAGACCCTAGGTTCCCATCTCTGCGTCTGGCTTGTTATTCAGATGGGCATTTCCATATTCCAGCTTGGCCACTTTCTGAGAGGGGCACTTACCAAGATAATTTATTTCTGTAGATCATACTTACCTGGATGCAGTTGTACTTCACAAATGTTCATTCTTGCTTCTGACCTTTCACTGCAGTCTGAACTGCTCTGGGAAGCAGAGCATGTCTTGTGTCTTTTCCCCTTTTCCACCAAACGTCCTTTGGCCTTTTCAGATAAGCAAAGGAAATGGCCTCAAGCGTATTGTTTATCGAGAGGAAATAGAGATGGAGAATTGGGAGTAACTATATTTTCAGGGTTTTATTAATATTATCACAGTATTCTTAAAGAACAGTGAAGTGTGGGCTGTTGGGTGGCCAAGCCACGTTTAGTGGGAATTTATTATTAATTCACCCTAAATAGAGCCAAGGTTAAAAACCGTCCTTCGAGTCCTTGTTCAGTATGCAGACACTTAGCAAGAAATGATTGACTCTTTTTGCCTTCACCAACCTGGTGCAGTCCAGATGTTTTAGACTACAACTCCGATCAGCACCAGGCAGCATGTCCCTAGTCCAAAACATCTGGAAGCCACCAGGTTGGCAAATGGCGATTTAGATAACCAGGTTTTCACCATAGGGCCTGAGCAAGGTATAATAAAGTTTTGACATGAATGTTTTCATAACTGTATGAATAACAGTAGTGTGGTTGTTCCTGGGATACACAGGAGCCTGATAAAGTGAGGGAAACTAACAGCAGTCTGAGATTCTTTGCCTTTGCCAAGGTAGCATTGCTTATTCAAGATAACATCAGTGAGTCAGCAATCCCAGATAAACAAGTTCTAGAACACAAGGCTGAACGAAGATAACTGTGAATTTCTTTTTTTAAAAGATTTTATTGGATTTTTACAGTTTTATATTCAGTCAAACAACACAATATAACATTTGTTATATAAAAGAAAAAGAAAACGCCCCCCTCTCCATGACTTCCCTCAACTTCCCCTTCTGGTTCTTTAAATATTTACTACTTCTGCTTAATTATTATCTTATTTTTATAATCTTATACTTTAATACTCTTATTTTCTTATCAGTTTTATACCACTAAACTGTACTGTTATGCCGTTCTCATAGCTTATCATAGCTTATCACTTTGTATTGGTGAATGCTGTTTTCTGAATTTTGGGTCTTCCAAAATGGCTGTTGCCAGTTTAATGAGCTTCAAACTAAACGTGGCTTTAGTGCCTTCACCATCCCAGTCAGCATTTTCCTTTTTCACTTAAGGCAACTCACAGACTCCAATGTGATGTTGGTGCAAGGAAGAAGACCATCTTAACTTTTTCTCCTCCTCCTCCGCTGCCTCCCTCCACCCACCCAAACTGCTTCTGAATTCCCTTTATACAGTCTATTCAGAAGACCCTAAGACTGCAATCCTAAGCACCCTTATTTGGGAGCAAGCCCACTGAACACAGTGAGTCTTACTTCTGAGTAAACGCTTCTCATAAATTACATGTTCATTAACTAAATACTGTCACTGACAGAGTTATTAGGCTTTCATTCCTCCTTAAGAACTTGGCCATTGAGTCATTCCTATAGTTCATATTTGGCAATATGCTGCCACTCTTTGACTAATGGATGCAGAGTCATCACCAGCCACCATCATTTCCCAGATGTCAGCATCTAGCACAGTATTTTTAATCCTTTCTGTGACCGGACCCCACATTTTCCAATAAGATGTGACATAACATCTAAATTTCCAAATATTCCAACATCCTCTCTTTATGCATTGCCAACTCATTGACTGATTCTTTTTCACTGCATTTTTTATTGTGCTTCTTCTAGTCGCAACTTGAAAAGGCATTGCTGCTTTCTTACCCCTTTAAAGCTTCCTGATCTTATTTTTCTTCTAATCAGTGGTGACCTCGCCCAGCATGGTACAGCTCTTTCTTCCATCCTTCACAAGACAAGGAATAGCAGTGCAGTATACAAAAGTGGATCTATGTTCTTTTGTGGTGATGCTCCTGGTATCTATTATACTAAATCACACTCTGGTGGGTTCTCTTTCAGCATCTTCTGTGATTCATACCTCTCTTGTGAAACATCTCCCACTAAAATCATTACGTTCTAACAAGCATGTTTCAGTATGGTCGAGACAAATGTGTTTTATGTGTCTAATCTCTCCCGTCATTTGAAGTTCTCTGTTCTGAAATATATAAATAGTGAAAAGAACAAACAGATAAAATTTTGAGTGTGTGTATTATTTTATGGATGCCTAGTTGTACTACTATGCAGTGTGCATTGCAAGTCATTTATGTGTGCTATGGACATAATCAACATGCAAACAAATGATGTTTTGTATATGCTGAATATTGTATTTTGTGGAGTAGAGCACAATCAAATGAGTTGATGGACTCAAGCACAATAAAATGAGCTGCTGGCTCCAGTTTTCCTATTTTGGAAATGTTCCAGTTTGAGGATTAGATGATAACACCAGTCTCTTCTAGCCTATACATTTTTCAGTTACAGAAATGCCATTTAAGTCAGGCATAATGCTTCGATCTGCAGAAAACCGGAATTGATGTTTGCTCTGATTTAGCGTTAAAGAGCGGGTTTTTGCAGGGAAAGCTCCAGGCAAAACAAACAAACAAACAAATGCTCAGACACAGAGCATTCAGGTGTGGCCCTCTGCCCAGAAAGACAGGGGCAAAATCCATACTTACGGCTGCAGTTCTAAACTCATTCACTAGGGACACAGTTGACATTCTCCCAAGTAAACATTCATAGGATGGCATTACATGGAAGCCATGACAAATGAGCCTTTGAGCACACTGTCCAAAAGAAAACTTTGTGAGTGTAATATTACAGTTCAAAATTATGGTTGTGCATATGCTGTTTTTTAACACACCTTCAATAACCGTTGACAATAGAATTAAGCAGTTCACTGCATGAGGTTTTGTAAATAAAGGTGTGCAAGCTCTTAGGTGGGAACTTTGTTCATTCTTGCTCTGCTCTTTGTTTTAACAGAACGAAAGCGCCCTTGTGAAAGAAAAAGAGCTCTCAGCGGAGCTTGCAAACATCAAAGATGAAGTTGGTAAGTAGGACATTAAATAAGCAATCTTTAAAATGTCCTTTTCTGCTTACAGATGTTTGGTAAAATGGTTTATTTCTTCTTCCTGTCATGCTAGGCAATCTCTGTGGATCTAATAAGGCATCGCCTTAAGCTCATCACAGGTTTTTATGGCTTGTCAGGGGAACAATAATTTCACCTCTTTGTTGTTGCTGAGACAGGTTCATAACTATACACAGTGGAACTCATCATCCATTATCTTTACTATTTGCAGATGGCAACCTGTAAATCTACATTGCCTGCTTTTGAATTGCATTCTGTGCCTGCCATAGAGACTGGGTATGAAGCTCAGGTCACCCTTAGATTGATAAGTTACAAGAGTCACAAATGGCGTAGTTACTTACAAGCTTTGTTACCTAGGAATTTGGAACATGTCAGGCCCAGAAACACTACCCAGCATGGTCAGGCAATAGCTCATATAACCCGTCCTAGGACCTTATGGTAAAGCAGGGCTGACCCAGCCATTAGGCAGAATGAAGCCATTGCCTCAGGTGGCGGAAACCCCTGCGGTGGCACCCTCAGCCTCCACCACTAGCGGAGAAGTGGCGCCGGCAACAATGAAATGTCCTGGAATCTTGTAAGATCTTTGAGTGTGAGAGTTACTGCTTTTCTGCCAGCAGTAGAGGGCAGGCAGCAGAGGTGAAATGGGATACACTGGCCTGGGGGTGAAGGGCAGATAGTTAATTTAAAAACTCATCATCATCAACTACATTTTACTCAGAGTAGGCCCATTGAAATTAATGGGCATAAGTTAGTCATGGTCATTCATTTAAATGGATTTACTCGGAGTAAAGTTAGTTGACTGCAACCTAATATTTTTACATATTTTTACACTCAGCCTAATGATAGAACTGGCCCATAACAATCCCACTTACAGAGTCAAACGAATGAATGAAGCTTCACTTGGGCTGATAAACTGTGGAAGAATCACTGTGGTTGCTCATTTTGAGGAGAAAGGGCTTGGATGCAGAAGCTCACCTGCCGTTTGGGCTTCCCCATTGCCTCTCTTCCATTCAATGGGGACAGAAGTGACATTCCACTGATGGCATTTTCTTTTCCTCCCATTAAAAACAGAAATGCACTTTGATTGGCCTTCACCCGTAGGTCGGACGCAGAGGGAAATAGCATCAGCTTAGTGCTGGGAAAACATTGTGACAGCAAGTGCTGCTATTTAACCTGCAGCCGCTTCTCCGTCCAGTAAATGTCATTTCCTATGAAAATCACACCCAGCCTGTAAGTCAAAAGTGAAACTTCCATGGAAATAAAAGAATATCTTGGCACTCTCTTGATAGCTGCGCTGGTCACGGGTGGGGTTTCCTGTAGCTGTTGAGCTTTTCATGGGCGCTTTTGGAGTCATGCACTTGTTCTTGGCTGAGAGTTTTAATTCTCTCCACTTCATTAAGCTCATGAGCAGGGTTGTATTGAACAGTCTGGCATTGGCAGCTAGCAAATATTTAAATTGCAGAGTCAACTGCTGGGCTGGTGGCTGTAGTTACCTTTCCATTCTACGAAGTAGCGATAAAGCATCTCGTTCAATAATGAAAGGCACACCAAACATGTAACATAATCCAGGGGGTTGCTTGCATACTTAATTTCATGTTTATAACCATTTGCATATTATTTTCTTGAACGTGACAGATGCAGAACTACAGATGGTAGGCTTGCTGCACTTATTTGGTGACCTTAAATGTGAAAACTATGAGCTGGCTCTTGGGTAATCACGATGCGCAGATATTTAAATGACAGGAGTTGGAAGGGCTTCATTTCTACATGAGGCTTTGTTTCCTTCTTTAAACATGGAACAATCACATGTCCAGCTTTAGGTCTGCATTCATGGAGGCTGGATACCCACTTTGTCTTTTCAGTTAAATGTAGAGTCCTAGAAGTATCTTGCATGCCATAAAAGTGTCTTAGAAGCAACAAATTCTGGTTTGTGTGCAGATCTCCCATTCTAGATTGGGTGGTTTTCTGTAATTTAGGAATGAATGCCAGGTCTCTGTGCATGGGGGAAAAATTGGTCAGCTTTCTGTTCAACTGTTCCCTTGCATTATTATTTTTTAAGTGAGACATGCAACAAAATTTTGAAGGATGAAGTGTTCCTGTTCAGAGTTCCAGCCATACCATTTTCCAAGATGCTCCATTCCATTTCCTTTCTTCCATTTTTCATTCTCCCTAGAAAGTCAACAATCCATGGCCATGCTCATTCCTCATTGGGTTGTTTTGAAGCTCCTCCTCATTCATTTTTTTAAAAAAGACAGAGTTCTGCAAACTTTGAGGTTTTCCTGAGCCAGTTGATACCTCCCTCTTGTATGTGGATGGTCCAATTTTGGCTCCACTAAAATCCTTATTCATGCATAGGATGACTTACGGTTTGCACATGAGAAATGCTTTTGCAGAAACTGGCAAAAAAAATAAATCTTACATATGTGCAATATAGTAGCATCTATTCTTTCTGTAAAGTCTATGTGTGTTGGTCATTGGTTTGCATACTTCAGTGAGTATCTTTGGATTATCACATCCTACCATGTGCCAGTCTCATTAGAATGATAGTTGAAAGACAGGTTTCATTACAGGATCAATTTAAAGCTTGAGTAGGTTTCAATTATGATGAATCCCCATTTCTGAGTTTGAGCTGGGTTTTGCTTGGATTCGGATAGTTCTGTGCCACAATGGAAGGCAATATAGTAGGTAGCACTAAGTGGTCATGCAGCAAAATTACAAAATAATTCAAAATGAGTATGGAAACTGAAAACAAATGTTAAAAATCGAAACTTGAGAAAATGACCAGGCAAAGCAGATACTATTAGTTCTCGTTGATGGGCAAGATTTGTGTGGTATAATGCTTAGAGTTTCTGACTAAGAATGAAGGAACCCAGATTCAAATCCCCACTCAACCATGAAGCTCATTAGGCAAGCCACTGGCCTGGTTAAAACAGAACACAAAACCATGGTTTAGCATTACATGTACAAGATGTGGTGATCTTGAGATTCATGTGCTTTCCATTCCTCCTCTGCCACATATTGTTCACTAGGGTCATTTGTTTGTTTGTTTGTTTTTTAGATTTATAAACTACCCTTCCTCCCAAAGGAGCCATGGGTGGCAAACACACACACAAAACAATTAAAACATCTAGAACATATTGTGCATGAACAGGTTCTGTGAGAGGAATACAGTGGTACCTTGGGTTACATAAGCTTCAGGTTACATACGCTTCAGGTTACAGACTTCGCTAACCCAGAAATAGTACCTCGGGTTAAGAACTTTGCTTCAGGATGAGAACAGAAATCATGCTCCGGCGGCACAGCAGCAGCAGGAGGCCCCATTAGCTAAAGTGGTACCTCAGGTTAAGAACAGTTTCAGGTTAAGTACGGACCTCCAGAACGAATTAAGTACTTAACCTGAGGTACCACTGTATTGGACTCCTAACAATCCTCAGCATTCTTAACAAACTACAGCTCCCAAGATTCTTTGGGGAAAGCCATGACTGTTATAGTGGTATAAGAGCGCTTTAAATGTATGGTGTGGATCAGTGCTTTTCTTCTAGAAAGAAAGGTGTTGGTACTCACCATGAAGTTGTTACAGTAAGTGCCATATTTTTAACCAGTATTTTTGTACACCCAGGGGGAAAAAGCACTGGTGTGGATGTGACCTAACATAGCTAACATAACATAAGGGAAATTCCCTTATTCCGAATAGGATTCCTCGCAAGAAAAGGGAAAAGTTGACAGCTATGCCTAGTAAGACTATGCTAGACCAGATGACATGATAGCAACATTCATTCTGTTTGCATAGACCCGGCAAATGACAGCACAGTTCGAAAGAAGGAGTCCAAATTGCTGTCAGAGTGGGTCGCTTCTAGGTTCAGCAGCAGCAATTCCAGGAGTCACTATTTTAATTTCCCACAATGCCCCAGAGTGACATGATGTCAGGGGCATTGTGGGAAATTTCAGTGGCAGCTCCCAGAAGTAGTAACTGTTTAAAACAAGGGTCCAGGCATCAGAGGTGAGCCTCGCTGGGCCCAGCAGCTATGTCTGAGCAGGTCGCAGATTCAGCAGGCCCATACGTTAGCTGGTCAACGTCTACCCTGCCAGGGGGGTGAGGTATTGCAGTCTGTTTAAATTCCAGTACAGTTGTACCTTGGTTTTCGAACACCTTGTGAGTCGAACGTTTTGACTCCTGAATGCCGCAAACCTGGAAGTGAGTGTTCCGGTTTGCGAACTATTTTTGGAACCCGAACGTCTGATGGGGCTTCTGCACTTTGGTTTTTGAACATTTTGGAAGTCAAATGGACTTCCAGAACGGATTCCGTTTGACTTCCAAGGTACGACTGTAGTTTCTTCTAAATTTGCATCTCTGCATATAAATTAGCATATGTCATTTGGATGCAACTCTCCTTTTTTGGTGATGCAAAGGGGGACCTTTTTGGACAATATGTAGGTGGTTGCCCTACTAGGATGTCTTGACACTGAGCCTGCAAAAAGTTTGAGAGAGCAAACAGAACACAAGTGAACCAAATGCATTTAGCAGGAGAGTCACTGAGCAGCGATGCTTTACAAAAGAATTCAAAAGGTGCAGGGGGGAATCTATGTCTCCCTGCTTGACATCACTGCACAAGTCAGTAGCCATAAGAATGACAGACCCAAATTGAAAAGGATGCCAGACAAGTGCAGCCAGTCTTCATATCTCCATTTCTAGATCATTAGGCTGTGAACAGTTAGATGAAATGCTTTTTTGGATTATTTTTTTTAAATGGTGTTGGTACTCACACATCAAGCACAAAATGGCTGCTGTGGACAGCAGAAAAAGGAAGTGCCAGCACTCCATACTGTGACCAAAAAAAGCCCTGGTAATATATGTGTGTATTTGCGTGTGTGTGTGTGTGTGTGTGTGTGTGTATACACACACACACACACACACACACACATGCCACCCCAAACCCTGAGCGGTGTGATATTCCAGGGCCCAGGCACTTACCCCGGGTTTGTGCTTCCTTTGGAAATGAAGCACAATGGAGGTTGTGGTGTCTTTATGATATATGCTTTATTTACACATATTTACAGCCCAAGCCTACGACTGAGGAGCTCAAAGCATTGCACTCCCAGAGGGTCCCGTTTCTCCCATTACTGCAGGCTCTGATTCAAACTGTCAGCCCACATTGCCCTCTGACTTCCCCTCTCCAGCTTGCCGCGTTTAACAGACTGACACCTTTTCCCTTCAATCACGCCACAGCAAACTGAAATCCTAAACCAACTGGTCTCCTTTTGTACAATATCTCAGGGCTCAAGGATGGGCTTCCCCCATTTGCTGGCGGGCATAGAGTCTTTGTTTTGCTAATAGCCCATCTCCCTGTCTTTGTCCCCTACTAATCTTCTTCTCCTGGGCAATTTCTTAGGCACAGAAAAAGTGGTTTGGCCTGTATTTTGACACTTTGCTATATCCAGCATCTGGCAACCCATCTTAATACTCCAAGGATTGATTAAACTCTGACACCCATTAGACCCAGGAATTTAGGGGGACCAAGAAACACACAAATGCATAACAATAGATAAAGATCCTCAGAATGCTGAATTCTGCACTGTACAAAAATTTATACTTTTTTAGAACATGCTAAACCCTACCTGTGCAACTCTCTTAGGTTTTCACCCTAGTTACCATCCCATCCCTGGATGATAGGAGAGATCTTTCTGCAATGATTCACATGCTTCCTGACAGCATTCCCCATTGTTCTGCTGTGCTGTAGTCTCTCCTCCTCAATCCTTCCCTTTACAAGATAAAGAGGGACTGGAGCATTCCTATACAATTGAAACGCAGCTGTTTCCTCTCTCTCATATTTTCCCCATCTTTAAATTTCCTGTTGATGTTTCAACCTGAGAGATCAGGGTGGTGGTTGTTTTCTTTTTTTGAAAAAGGTAGGAATCTAAGGCTCCATCCAGCTAAGTGGCATATCTCAGTAGTAGTAACCCTACAGTTCAAAACACCTAGTTAATTCAACAAAATGCATGGGGTTTTGCTGGTGCAACGGACTTCTGTGCATGCAACAGATCTTCCTCTTCCTCTCCACCCCCATCGCTGAGGTCCAGCGCCGAGGGCCTTCTGGCGGTTCCCTCACTGCGAGAAGCAAAGCTACAGGGAACCAGGCAGAGGGCCTTCTCCGTAGTGGCGCCCGCCCTGTGGAACGCCCTCCCACGAGATGTCAAAGCAATAAACAACTACCTGACATTCAGAAGACATCTTAAGGCAGCCCTGTTCAGGGAAGTTTTTCATGTGTGACATTTTAATGTATTTTTAATCTTTGTTGGAAGCCGCCCAGAGTGGCTGGGGAAACCCAGCCAGATGGGTGGGGTACAAATAAATTATTATTATTATTATTATTATTATTATTATTATTATTATTATCCTGTCCCCTTCAGCCCTCCATGCACCCTCAGAATCCACCCCAGAGCAGATTTGGAGGGAATGTGAGGGAGAAGAGAAAACAAAATATAACTAAAGATTGAACTTCTGCCTTTGAAACTCCCTGATGAAAGACCCGAGACATCCAAAACTCATTGGGTATTAACACCCCCCCATACATCTTTGCTTCCTGCTCTGCTCACCCCTCCCCCTTGCATTTGCCTCAGTTTCTCTTTTTTGCTGCATTAAGTGAAAGTATGGGCATCTTTTCAAAACATAATAACTTTTGTTTGCTTTTGTATGTAGCTGTTGATTCTTTTTCTTTGTACAGCTGTTATACTAAAACTTTTCACTGCACAAAAGTGCTTTATAATTCCTACCACAGTTAGCTATCCCAACATACCTGTGTACTTACCTGAAAGAATGTTGCTCAAGGCAACCCATTGAGCTTCATGGCCAACATGCAGTGCTCCCTTTCTCCTCGAAATCCCATCTCTCAGCAAGGGTTATCCTCCAGGAGGGTCCTTGAATTCAGTGTGGGCCCTTCCTTGCCATCCCAGGACAGCTGGCAAAATCAGGGCATTTATTAATCCTCGTGCTCCACCATAGGTAGCCCATGGGCCGATTTCAGTGTTGTGGGTCTGAAATTCTTCAGGCCAAGCAGAATTTCTGTAGTGGAGATGCAGGAAGTTGGATACGCTCTAGCTCCTCTGTCACATCTCAACGAACGGTTCTTCTCTCTGTAGCCTTCAATGCAGCAAGATATGAGAAATTACAAAAAGAGAAGGAGGAGCTGGAAAAGAAGTTTGAGGGCAAGTTGAGGACGCTCGGTTGGGAGCAACAGGAGGAGCTCCGTGCGCTCGAAGAGCGGCTGCAGTTACAGTACAGTGCCGAAATAGAGCAATTGCAAGAGGATCACAAGGCGCAACTCATCAGGATCAAGAGCCAGCACCAAGAGCAGGTCAGTCATGCTCTGCGAGTTGTATGTCCTCTTGGCAGTGACTGTGACTACAGGTGTGTGATAAAGTCAAATCTATGCACGTCCCTGATTTGATTGTTGGTTTCCCTTAGAGTAGCTTCCCTTCCTCCTGCCATCAGCCTCCATCACATACACCAGGAGTGGGGAATCTTTTTCTGCTGGAGGGCCAAATTCCCTTCTCTGCAGACTTCTGAGGGCCACATTCCAGTGGTGGGTGGGGCACTGAATAGCACTGAGGAAATCTGCATTTGAATCTTGACATTTATTGTGAACTGTTTTGAGCAAGGTCCACCGTGGGAAAGTGGCATATAAACTAGGGATGGGGAATGTGTTCTCCTCCAGATGTTGTTGTGGTTCTGAGGCTGATGAGAGCATGGCCAATGGTCAGGGAAGATGAAAGTTGTAGTCCAACAACATCTGGAGATGTTCCCCATCTCTGGTTCCCCATCTCTGAACTAAACTCTGGTGCCCCTGAGATGCTTCCACACTGGGGCGAAGCAGGAGCTCTCCCCCAGTGTTGCTCCCCAGAATCTTGTATTCATTCACAGTCACAATGTCTCTGAAACTAGAGATCGCACATAGACATCATGGCTCATAGACCTTGGTAGCCTTGCCCTCCATGAATTTGTCTAACCTCCTTTTGGAGCCAGCTACGCTAGCTTTATCTGTACGGCTTTGCTCTTTGAACAGGTGGAAGACATTACAACAACTCAGGAAGCAGCGGTGATGGAGATGGAAAACAGTCAAGCAGTTGCTATTGCAGTGCTTCAGGATGAATATGAGCGCAAAGTTCAAGGTAATACTCTGTTCTCCCGGACTTAGAGATATGAACTTGTGAAGAAGTCTGCTTAGCAAAGCAGGATACAGATAATCATATGTTCTTAAGGACCATGTTGATACTGTACGCATTCCTTCAACAGTTGAGTCCTTGCTCCAGGCGCCATCACTGAATGGAGTTTGCCAGGTGTCCAGTAGGAGCAGGGCCTTCTCAGTAGCAGCACCCTGACTCTACGAAATGACCTCTCCAGAGGGGGTCAGCCAGCCCCCCCCACTATATACTGTCCAGTGTCAGGTTATAACTTGGCTTTATCTGATCCTGCTATGTTTTGATTGGATTCGGCTGACATCTACTCATTGTTATGCTATCAAGATTGCATAATTCCTATTGGATGGGGATTTTCTTTATTCTATCCTTTGTTTTCCTTCAGCTTTATACCTTTATGTTTTATTTGTAAGCTGCTTTGGGCCATATCTGATAAGAGAAAGTGCACAAATAAAATAAATGAGCACGCTATTGAGGGGGCTTCGCTTTGCTGCCGCCCTCCTGACGGCGGAGTCAGTGCTGCTTGTCAGCCAGAGCAGTCATGTAATTGGGGCAGGACACTATATTTTCCTGAATACAAGCATTTGAGCAGCTGCAAACTTTTCAGATATTTTTGTTGCTTGCTTTCAAACATAATGTAAGTTCTGATCTGGTTTGAATACAAAATTGAAAGTTCGCTTCCTCTTAAGTGCCTTAACGGCAGTGAACTAGAGGCATTAAGCTACATTTTGATCCGTCTCCCCTCCCCTGTACATTGCATATCCCTGCCCTCTACCCCCAATTTAAGTTTTCCTGTGATTCTATAGATGCACTTTCCTGGAGTAAACACCATTGAAGTCAGTGGGACTATCTTCATTACTTGCTCTGTTCCCAACCTGCCCCTGCTTTGAAGTCATACTATGAATGGTTTGGGCACTAACCTATCAGTCAGAACATTGCAGTCCCTCTGATGTTTAAATGTTTAATTTTATTCTTTGCTGCTTACGTTGTGGTCAGTTTGTTATTCCTGATTCTGCATTGCCCAATGCCCCACCAGCCCAAATGTGTAGCAGTCGCTCCCAACAACCCCTCTGCAGATCCCTTTAAATTGCTGGTGCCAGAAACCTGTGACCTTCTGCATGCAAGGCTTCTGTGTTGTCACTGAGCTATGGCCCCTACTATCACTGACTAAGGAAGATGCCAAGCTGCTAAGGCGCCTTTGTTGGTTTATTGTGACAACAGCCTCCTTCTCTGCCTAGTAGATCTGCCATCTCCTTAAGGTGGACAGGGCAGAGTTAAAGGCAGGGAAGACGCCCCACGAAAGGAACTGAGGAGGGAACTTCAGTCTATCACAACTGGTGCAGAGGAAGTTCCAGAGCAGGAGTTTTAAAGGCAGGGTTTAAAGTCAGAAGTTGGCATTCATGAGTAACGTGCATATCTATTTGAGAAAATGTAATCCTGCTGATTAAGTATCTGCTAAACTTCTCATTATTCAGGCAGCATAGCCACGGTTTATATTAACATTTTACAAGTGGTAATCCACTAGGGCTAGGGGTTGTTTAGGGAGTTTTGTTGGCAGGGAGTGGTTGCTGTTGGCTTCCCCCCTGTATCTTTATTTAAATCTTGTGATTTATGTAGAAATTGTTTAGTTTGGTCGTGCATTTTTAAATGATTTGTTTATTGTTTATCACAACTTTTGTTACGTTACAGCTATGCACATTTTTCATGTTGTAAGCCGCCTTGAGCATGGTTTGAACTGTGGAAAGATGGCAAACAAATAAGATTCTGCATGTATGCGTGTTGCAGGCATTTTACAGTTGATCTCTATCATGGATTTGGATTATCACTATATTCATGAACAATTCCCACCCACCCACTGCCCCTTTGTGTAAGGCTTTTTGGGTTATATTTTACAGTGAAGGAATCCCTGAAATGCTGCTTTCGGACCATGTGAGAGTTCCTTGCAGGCCTAGGGCCCCCTCTCGTGGATGAAATTGTCACTGAAACAGCTGATTGGTGAATAGGATTTATTTATGGAGTCGCTGTTTCAGAGCAATTAGTTGGGCTATTAAATTTTAACACGCTCTCCATACCAGTTCCTTGGGCTATTAAACCATAGATTACTACAGGGCCAACTAAAATTTCATATCCATAATAAAATTGGTTGAAGAAGAGTTTCCCATAGTCCCTGCCATGCAGCCTTTGGAATGGGCACACAACAGAGACTTCTCCTAAATTTAGTGTGAATTGAGGGTTGTTCAGGGAGCAGCTGTACAAAACAAGAGCTGTTCCTGTAACTACTACAGCTTTATTTAAAAAGTAGGGATCCACATCTTGTTATCCCCCATCCAAGCTGGTAAGAGGCATCTTTCCCATTCAAGGACAAATTCCAGTCAGGCAAAATCAGTCATGGAGGGTGGAGAGCAAGGCCAGGGGGGCACATCTGGCCCCCTGGGACTGAGGTTGTCCAGCCCTATCTTAAACATATAGTCTTCTGTATTTTCCCCCACATCTGGCCACTCTGTTGCTAGAGCCAGTGCCTGATTCTCCTGCTAGTCCTTTCTGCTAGATCTTCCACACCATACATGTCAAGTGCTGTGATACCACTTTAAACACTCAGAGCTTCTCCCCAAAGATTTCTGGGAGTCGTAATTTGTTAGGGGTACTGAGAGTTGTTAGGAGGGTTTTATTTCCCTCACAAAGCTACCATTCTCAGAGTGATTTGATAATTGCTCGCTCTTCACAAGGAGCTCTGGGAATTGCAGCTCTGTAATGGGAATATAATGGGATGCGGGTGGCGCTGTGGGTTAAACCACAGAGCCTAGGGCTTGCCGATCAGAAGGTCAGCAGTTCGAATCCCCACAACAGGGTGAGCTCCCGTTGCTCGGTCCCTGCTCCTGCCAACCTAGCAGTTTGAAAGCACGCCAAAGTGCAAGTAGATAAATAGGTACCGCTCTGGTGGGAAGGTAAACGGCATTTCCGTGCGCTGCTCTGGTTCACCAGAAGCTGCTTAGTCATGCTGGCCACATGACCCGGAAGCTGGACGCCAGCTCCCTCGGCCAATAAAGCGAGATGAGCGCTGCAACCCCAGAGTCGTCCACAACTGGACCTAATGGTCAGGGGTCCCTTTACCTTTAATGGGAATATAAGGGTCTCCTAACAACTCTCAGTGCCCTTAACAGACTGTATCTCCCAAGATTCCATGGGGGGGAAGCCATGGCTCTTTAAAGTCCTTTAAATGTATGGTGTGTTGTGGCCTAAACAATAAATCAGTAGCCCGGAGGCAAAGCCACATCAACCCACAGAGTAAGAGAGACCATATATGCACATTGTAGTTCAGACTAGAACAGCACACCGTCTCGTATTTAAACGCCAAAAAAGTTTGGACATCCCTTGGCCTGGACATCGTACGGGGCTGAGCAAGGCATGTGGCAGTTGGACTGCAGCAAAGCTGAGCCTAGCTGAGACTGAAGGACTGTAGCTGACATTGGGTGTGTTGATGCAACACTAATGACCTCATTTCCAGTCGGTCGGATTTCCACTATTTACTGGGAGGTAGAGGAGCAAGGTGGCGGTGAGGTCAGTGCAGCACAAACCCACCAGTGGGAGCGTAAAATGGGCTCTGCCGTTGTGTTTGCACCATGCCGTTCTCAATGCTGCCTTGTCCCTCCCTCTCTACCTCCCAATAAGCATCCATGTCGCGATTGGGTGGCGATCAGATAAACGACAGTGCCCCCACTCATGTCATCCACTACTGCCCAAGGATTGTGAGTAATGGATGTGTCACAATGGTTCAATGTGACATTTTTTAATTCCTTCCCAGAACTAAAGTCTGCACATGAACTGGAAAAAAGAGAACTGGAAGAGAATTTTGAGAAGCTACGTCTGTCACTCCAGGTTAGTATCACTTTCGACATACAAAACCTTATCATTTGTCAAAAGGATCTACTTAAAGCACATCCAACACACGTGACTTCCCCTCAACAAATCCTGGGAGGTGTAGTTTCCACCTTACAGAGCTACAATTCCCAGCACCCTTAACAAACCACAGTTCTGTGGAGTCTTTGAGGGAAGTCACATGCTTCAAATGTGTATTGGGGTGTGCTGTAAATGTATGGTGTGGATCTGCCCTAGCAGCCATGGCTTTCCCCAAAGAATCCTGGGAGCTGTAGTTTGTTAAGGGTGCTGTGAGTTGTTAGGAGGCCCATGTTCCCCTCCAGAGCTGCAGTTCCCAGTTTAACAGTCAATCCATCTTTCCAGGGTTCTTTGAGAATTGTAGTTCTGTGAGGGAGATAGGAGTCTCCAAACAACTCTCAGCATGCTTAGCAAACTACAGCCCCCATGATTCTTTGGGGTAAGCCCTGACTGTTAAAGTGGTAAGTGCGCTTTACATGTATAGTGTGGGTGTGACCTTAGTCATGACTAATTTTATTCCCGCCAATTCAGTAGGACTTGTGGCTGGCTGGCTTTCTCTGCATCAGGGCCACCGCCTAAATGGTTTGCCTTGCATCGAGTAAAAGCGTCACAGGCAACTGTGTTTGCACTTGATTACAGGACCAGGTTGACACCCTCACTTTTCAGAGCCAGTCTCTGAAGGACAAGGCAAAACGATTTGAAGAGGCATTAAAGAAAAACACAGAAGAGCAACTAGAGGTAACATGAGATTTGCTTTTATGGAACTTAGTGTGACTCATAAGAACAAGAGAGTTCCCCTTTCATCGCTACTCTTACTTCCAGTAAACGTCTTCAGAAAGTGTTCTGCAGATCCTGGCCCATCATGGACTGCCTCACGCTCAGCCCCATGAGGGAAGGCTGAGGTTTTCACACAGCTGGAATAACCTGGCCTAGGGGTGACTTTAGGCCCAGTCGTTTTACCTTCCTTTTCTGTTTAACCTGCTTTGGTTAGATTTTGAAATTAAGGGAGAGGGATTGCGTTTGTTCTTCAGCTATTGGGGTCTCCAAAATTGGGAGGGCTCCTCCTCATACTGAAGGTTCTGGAAGCCTCCAGAAAGCCTTCCTCCTAGAGTGGATGAGGAGAGTCTCCCATCTCTCCTGGGTAAGTCATCTGCTTCTTTTTCTTTACTGTCAATTCTCCTTCGCCTCAGATTGCAATGGCTCCATACCAGCATTTAGAGGAAGACATGAGTAGCCTGAAGCAGGTCTTGGAAATGAAGAATCTACTCATTCATCAACAGGAGAAGAGGATCATAGAGCTAGAGAGGCTGGTGAGCCCTTGGTTTTTGTCTCTCTTTAGAAAGCAATACACAAGGGAGTGAAAAGGCACAAAAGCTTGTGTATCCATTAGTGGAGGGACAAGGAACCTGTGGCTCTCCAAATGTTGTTGGACTCCATGTCCCATCAGCCTCAACCAGTTTGGCCAAAGGTCAGGGATGATGGGAGTTGTAGTCCAGTAACTTCTGGAGGGCAAGTTCCCTGTTCCTGCATTAGAATCACAAGCTAGCACAATCTGTTTAAGCAGGCAACTCTGGTTTGGAATGTGGTCATTTTAGAGATGCAAACTGGGAAGGGGGAAGGAATTATTATTATTATTTATTAAAAATTTGTATACCACCCTTCATCCATAATCTCAGGGCAGTTCACACCATAAAAATTAAGAAGCAGTGCAGAAATTAAGATGTTCCTATATGGTATATTTGAAATGGGAAGGAATCTTACTTTTTAAATCTCCATTTCACCTCTCACCCTTTCCCTCTGTTCAAAGCCACTCTTGGCTAAGAGACAGTAGGATTTGGGGAGGCAGGAACTCCATTTTATAATGTGATAGCCCAGTGCAAGACAGTAGCTACAGTAAATATTACAGTATGTTAACATCAAGTCAGGGGTAAAATTAATCCCTGCATGCATTCTAGAGTTTCCATTTCCAAATCACACAACAAAATACTGCACTGTAGAATGGCTGTGCTCGGGAGCCAGCCAGCCATGACCTCTCCCAGGAAACTCCATTCAGTCCCATCCACCTGTGATTCCAGATTTCTTTTTCCCAACCAGTCAATCAGCATTTATTGCCCGCTGAGCATGCTCATTAGGGCTTTGGCCCCACCCCCACTGGTTCCATCCTGACCCGCTGCCAGCATGTGGCCCCTGACAAATCGCCCCAGAGGGAATGTAGTCCTTTGACCAAGAAGAAGAAACGGTCTGAGGTGACAAAAGTGTAGGGAAGGAAGACTAGCAGTTAAACCCTTGCTAAAGCAGATACATGCATAGATTGTTTCTCGGCTAGGCACTCTTAATTAAAACCAGGTGTGTTTCTCCCAAGTGGAGAAACACAGCAACACCCTCTGGGATCAGGCTGGTTATCACGCAGGTGAGCTCCTGTGTGTTTACAACCCATCAGTACCATCCAATCTGTGCTGCCACTTCTGCTGCAATGAATTGGTACAATACTGCATTATTATTATTATTATTATTATTATTATTATTATTATTATTATTATTTTACTGCTGCAATTGCTACATATATTTAAAGCTGTCCCTCCTATATTGCAGGCTGAAAAGAACTTAATATTAGAAGAAAAAATTCAGGTGCTCCAGCAGCAAAATGAGGATCTCAGAGTCAGGATTGATCAGAACACTGTGGTGACAAGGTCTGTCTAGACGTTTGCTCCCCAGCTTGGCATTTCAAGCAGCTTTCAGTTCACATCTTTGTGTATGTGTGTGTGCTCACTCTGTGTCTATTTGCAGCAGCCTGGTACCATTCAGATGTTCTGGGCTCCAGTTCCCATCAGTCCTGACCATTAGCCATGCTAGCTGGGGCTGATGGGAAATCTAGTCCAAAAAAAGGAGGGGGGAGGCTGCTTTGTAGAATCATAGCAATGCAAGGAACTTGTTAAACTTACTTATTTCTGAAGTACCAGAAGGCTACGCATACTTATTTGGGAATAAGGCTCATTAAACTCAGTGGAACTTAACTTCCAAACAGACATGCACAGGATTGCATTGATGGAGACTGGGCTGTGAACCAGGAAATGCCTGATTCAAATCAGGACTGCCTTGGACTCACTAGGAGTACAGTCTTATGTAAAGCAACTCCAACTGAATTCAGCAAGGCTTACTACCAAGCAAATGGGCAGACGGCTGCATCCTAAGTGATCTTCCTGAAACCACTGTTTCTCAGACTCTGCTCTCGTTGATGCTGGCACCAGTCTCCCTTACAGGGTTGCTAGGATTCCTGAGAAAATCCATATGGAATGATTCCTACACACTACGGAGGCAATTCTATGTACACTTTTGGGGGGATGGGCCCCGCTTTACACAGTGGGACTTGCTTCTGAGTAAGCGTGCTTAGGATTGTGCTGAATAGTATTGCGTGTTGTTATTAACCCTCTGCCTCATACACAGAGTCCTCCATAAACAAAGCTTTCCTCCTTAGGAGTTGGCAACGCTCCCCCTTTACCGCGGATCAGGGCTGACTCGAGGTTTAGTTTGCAAGCAGTTGATCTTCAACATCTACGCTGAAAACCTCTGGGTATCGGAGTAGCCGTTATACTGAAACCTGTAGCTGTACACTTCCAAGTTATGGCACTTTGCAGAAGGATGGATTTCTCTGCAAAACATTAGCACTGTACACAGAACGCCACGCTTAAGAGCACTGTGGGCGCCTGTCAATTTGTGGGGCTGAGCCTGGCTTACCATGCAGTCTTCAACCACGTACCACATTGATTTTATGGGTGCTTTTGTCCGTTTTGTGGCTGTTTCTTGTGCAAACCTGCAGCATGTTGATACAGAATTCTTGTTTTTAAGGTAGTGCGTGTAGAGCACGTGACATTGCACAGAATTCATAAATTCAAAGAACCTGATGAGGAGAAATGCAGAAGGAGCACCACGTTCATAGCAAAAATACAACAGATTCCTGCAGTACCTGAAGGAGCTTGGGGCATGAGCCTGAATAGGCAAAATGCCCCTTTGCTAGATGCTCCAGTTAGAAAATGTAATCATGTGGGATGGAGAGACAAAGGAAAGATACCTGCCCATCTACCTCCCCCTTCAGGAATAGCCCAGTAACTAACCAGTTGTGCAAACACGTGTATCAGAAATCACTGGATCTATGCTGCCAAATAGAGACGGCAGCTGCAACCCACCCCCCCCCCCCAAAACAGGAAGTATTGCTTCAGTGTGGCATTATATTTGCTGTTGTGTTTTCTGAAGCCCCACTGCAGTTGCTGAACCCCGTCTGCCTCAGCAGGAACTGGTCCCCAGAGAGCCAGTAAAACACAGCACCTGCTGGTTCCACCCCCCCCCCCATGTGGACGGGGAGGCCTATGCCTTATCTTTCCCCATGTTTCAAAGCTCGTCTCTGCTGTAACCTGACCGTTTCTTTCTTCTGTTGGCGTCAGCCTCGGATGACGCAGCAAAAAGACAATCCCAGCACTGTATGCGGGAGAGAGGCAGGGTAACAGTCAGAGGGCTATTTATTCTTTGCTTCTGCTTGCCAAAGCAAATTGTCCTTGGGCACATGCTGGTATCGGTATTATAAGAAAAAAGAGAAAGGGTAAAAAACGCTTGTCAGCAAAGGCACATCCCTGCTCAAAAGGCTCTTGGAAGAGACTGCCACTTGGCTGTGTTAACTCCCAGTTCTCCTCCTCCAGCAATCTATCGGTTGCTTACTGTCTCAGGAGCAGGGATGCTGTCTGACAGGCTCTTGTATCACGGAGCATCACCTTGCAACTCTCTTCTATCTCAGTGAAGGCAAAGGCTCTGGGGTCTCGATGTCCCTACATGTCACTAGTGGCATTGATTTTTCTGGCTTTTAAGAGGTGAACATAGGAAGTTGCCTTTCGCTGTGTTTCACCATTAATGCATCCCTCATCCTCGTGTCCATTACTCTGTTTAGCAGTGGCTCTCGGGGGGTTTCCCATTCCTGCCTCCAGAGAGCCTTTTAAGTGGCTGCGCAGGGGATTGCACCGGGGGCCTTTTGCACGCAAAGCATGTTCTCTACCAATGAACTATGTCCCCTTCTGTTAAGAAATGCCCAGTTTTGCCCTGCACCTGTGCTTCTGAACCCATTTCTGCTTGTCTTCTAGAATGGCTCGGGGCTAGTTCACAACTGCATGACTGTGACGCCAAGAGCGTGCTATCCACACTTGATTGGCAGATGAATGTGTGAACTAATTCTGTTTGGGGGGGGGATACTGGACTGCATCCAGTTGTGGCCTGGAGGACTATTGGAACCATGGAAGCATCCATGAATGGAGAGGGAGCAGCATTTTTTCCTGATACCCCTCTTCCACCCAAGAAATCTGCTCCAGATGGTTGGGGAACTCTTCAGAACAGCATGGGAGGTAGTGTAGCAGGCTGCAGGGAAACGGGAATTTGCAAAAATCCGCTCCCTCCCCCTTCCATCCATGGAGGACGTTGCTGGAGCAAGAACCCTCCATGAAGGGAAGGATGCAACTGAATACAACCCATTGTGCTTGAGGAAATACTAAGTGATGAAAATTTTGTCTGAATGTGGTCCATTCATGATGGCCCATTCATCCCTCATTCACTTGATGGTGAAACGTTCAAGGGGCAGGGATGTGTGAATGAACCAGTCTAAAGACAAGCGACACAGACTGAGGAAAATCTTTGATTCCTGGGTGGTGGGGTTCTTTCCCATTCACTAAAGGTCCAATTTATATTAGGCCATGCAACAGCAGACTATTTTCTTTGCACTTTCCAAGGAGTGGGATGGTAAGTATCCAAATCATGTAGGCAAAGAGTTTTCAACAAGACGTGAGAACTGTTTACAAAATAGATGAAAACTGGTGGACCTCCAGCCACTGCTGGCCTCCCATTGCCCTTTTGTCCGACGGCCACGTTGGTTGGAGCTGATGGGAGCCCAGTGACACCTGGAGAGCACCAGGTTCCCAATCCTTAGTTTACAAAATGGATCCAACGAGGACTTGCCGCAATTCTGAAATTTTGATTTTGACTTGACCGTGCCTTGTTTCCCTCTCCAGGCAGTTATCTGAAGAAAATGCTAATCTCCAGGAATACGTTGAAAAAGAATCCAAGGAAAAGAAGAGGCTAAGTAGGACTAATGAAGAGCTGCTGTGGAAGCTTCAGACGTCGGACCCCATGAGCCCAGTTAAGCTGTCGCCAACATCGCCCACCCATATTTATCGGTCTTCGTCAGGACCTCCCACCCCAGCTAAAGTCAGCACTGTGCCAAGATGACAGCCCCGTGCAGCTGTATCAGATGACTTGTCCCTGACAATGTCCCAGCCTACTGAATGTTCTCGTCTAAGAAAGTATTAACCACAGTAGAAGTAGATCCCTGGGATCCGTGACTCTACCAACATGCTCTCTAGATGCATAGCTGTATTTGACTAGGCAGTGCCCTCTGGTGGGTTCCTGCGTCGGGAGTCCCTAGGACTTGCTACACTGATGCCATAGAATAGCAGGATCCCAGCTGACGCATGGGGACATCTCCCAGGGTTAGAAGCAAAAGCAAGGGAAAACTCTTCTTATTGTTCACTCCCGAGTGAACTTTTCGCTGCAGTATTTCAGGTTAGTTGCCAGTTCGAGTTTTGAATAGCTCTGTGCGTTGAGTGGCTGCTGATACGTGTGGATGCCCTCAGGCATCCATGCCCATAATGTGAGGCACATGTCAGGCACACATGCACACCTTCTGCAGATGTAGCTGAAGCTGTTCCGAAATGCATTTTTTTATATTAATGGATTCTACAAAAAGTGCTGATATATTTTCATGAGTCAGCAGTTTTCTAACTTGTGCCTAAGAGTTATACTGAAATTACATGCTTCTTTTTTTCCATTTTTTGGTCAAAACTTCCCAGGAATATTTCTCCCCAAACGAGAAGAAAGTTACAAAAACACAGAAGCACCTTCCGAGTGACCACTGAGTGGTACGTTTTCTAAAGCAAAACACCAGCGACTTGATTTGTTAACTAGTTAACTGCCTTCGAAAATAATTGCTTTTCTAATCAGTGCCAGACACGGCACTCGCTTCCCAGGTAACAATCAGAACACTCACCACTGCTGTAAATACGGAAGAGGCAAGCAGGCCTCCATCGTTGCAGTCCTATGTTTATTTATAAAGATGACTCCATTTTACCCCAGCAGTAAGTGCTTTTCCACGATGTTTTCAAAGTCTGAATTAATAGCAAGGCTAAATGTACAAGACCCTGTGCCTCCCAACTCCTTTTTAAGAAGGGGTGGGGGAGTGACCACAGAAGCATAGAGTGAATGTGTGAATTCAGTTAGCGTACTTCAGTAGAGAGGCAAATGTGGGTGCTAAGTAACAAAAAAGAGCCCTGTGGGATTAGGTCCATCTAGTCCAGTATCCTGTTATCACAGTGATGCACCAGTTGCCTGTAGGAAGGACCTGGGTGCCACAATGCCCTCCCAACCCACAATTCTCAGCAGGCAGATGGTCTCTGTTGGTCTTCACCCACAGTTTGCCCTCTTCTGTTGATGACGGAATTGGGCTCTTTCTTCTACACAGGGGCGACTCACCTGTGCAGTGGACCCAAGTAGCAGCTTGAGGCAGCAATATTTTTAAGTGAGTGTGCAATCTGAGAGCTGCTCCTACCCCCCCTCCTAAGCAATGTGGCCAAGAGCATGCTATCACTCTCCTCCGCCACGTTGCCTAGGATCCAAGGAGCGCATCTCTCAGATCCAGAACTCACATCATCTCAGGCTCGTCATGTTCATAGAATAGCAATCAACACTGCACACTTGGCATTTTATCAGCACTCAATGGCATGTTTATGTGTTTTGGTACTGGCCAAACTGCTGGATTGTTATATCTCTCTGCCTTCTTTCCAGCCATCTCGACCCTGCTACCCGGTGTGTATTTAGTAGCAGCACGATATTGGATGTCAGGCCTGCTAGAACGTAGGCTGGTTCCCTAGAGAGTAGCATAGCAGTCACAATAGCATTAGACCTTGAAACGGTTTCTAAACATGAGCTAGACAGACTAAGAGGGCACAGCCAGTGTCCCTTCTTGTCTTTGGTGTGATAGGAGTTGGGTTCCAGCGTGTGTGTCAAAGAGTTGTTATAGACTTAGACTGTGAAAGCGTTGAACGTAGCGTTGGACAGATGTGGAGCATGAATCATCTAAGCAAAGAAATGTTTTTAGATAGCCATGTGATACTTTGGTTCTCGAGTGGAGGCCCAGGGCTCAACTCATCTGCAAAGTCCCTCTGTAGCGTTTAAATACAGGGCAGCTCAGAGTGCCAAAAGGACACCGAGGAGAAGAGAGGGAGGGAGTTAGTGTACAAAGCTCACAGAGGACCTCCCTGACTGGCAAATGCCTGTCTGCCTGATGTCCACACAAGTGCTTTGTTCAGCGAGTCTGCTTGGTGCTTGTGTCGATGACTTGCCTGTGATGCAGGCCTTAGGCATCAGCTGTGCTTGCCGAGCCAGCACCTTCCAATAGCCACAGATCTGTGGCCCAATTCCATGATGTACAGAGTAACAAGGTTGATTTCTTTCTTTCTTTCTTTTTTAGAGAAATTTATTTTTGTAGCTACCTTGCATGATACTGTGATACCAAGTACATCTTCTTAGATTAGCTCATGCCACGTTCGTTAACTTATCACAAACGACAGGACTAGTTTTCGCATAATGGGCAACTTGCAAACTCAAGAGTAGGATAGTTGCAACAATGACCCACTGATATAATTTTAGCCGGTTTCCTTACCACACTCGCTTGAGACACAGACAGCACCTGTTTCCTTGCTATGTCGCGAACCTTGTACTGTCAAGCTCATGTGAGCAATGTTATACCACAGCGTTGATAAATTTGCATTTACCTTGCATTGCTCTGTAAGTTATGTATTACTCTCCACTTATAAGCTAGCGAAGCCACACTATGGGTGGGTGGGTGGGTCTGGGTTGTCCGTCAGTTCCTCTGTTTATGCTTCTTCCTTCCTCTGTTCATCTGCCACCTCCATTTTCAATGAATGCTTCCAAATACGATTTGAGATTTTGGCTTCTGCTGGCTTACACAAGATAGCAAGTCAATGCTAATATCAGACTACAGTTCTCTCTCCTCCATTACCTTTGTACAGATCAGTCGTCCCTGCATCCAGATGGGAAAGGTGTAGGATTCTCTCCTTCTTCTTCTTAAAAAATGGCAGCCTAGGGCTACTCTACTTTAACCTACCATTCAGTTGCTTGGAAGCATTTCACTTATTCAGCCCTTCAAAACCAGAGGCCATCCACAGAGGGAAAAGAGCCTTTTCATGACTTTGCATTATGCAAACTTAAAGGTAACCAACTATGGCTGGCATCTGAAAAGTAACTTGGTTTCTTAAGCACGCTGTCTGGCAAGCCAGTTCTGAAACCAAGGCGTCCTTTAAAAGCAGTTTCTGATGTCATATACAGGGCTACTACTACAAGGTGGAGGGAACTATCTCACTGGGTCACCCGAAACCTTTTGACTTTCCTAAAGTTGCATCCCTGCCTCTGCCATCAGCTCCCCCATCACTCCAAAAATGATGATGATAGACATGAGATATGGGGAAAGAGTGCAACACGCTCTATTCTAGTGCTGCAGGCAAGCGTGTGCAGATCTGGGAGTTGTGCAACGCTCCCAGTTCAGTTTCCTGTATACCTTTTTTTTTACAGCCCTCAGCCACATTTGACACGCACACACTGAGCCCTTACGCTGCCTTCCCAAAGCCAGATACGTGAGCCACTGAGCTAGGACCCTGCCAGAGCCTTGCACCTCTTTCCCAAAGCCCAGCCCCTCACTTTGCCAGCTTTGGGAAGGCAGCGCAAGGGCTGGGGGCAGCCCATGAAACAAGGCAGTATTGTGGCCCGCTTGGTATGAAAAGTTGGGCTGCCCTGCTGTATACAAACGATCCCAAGTAGGAGCAGACTGGACTGGGGCAGTGCCAGGGGAAGTGCATAACATGCCTAGGCTTCATTACAACCACTGCATCCCTTGGGCTTCTCTCCTTGAAGACCAGCTGCTTTTTGCATGTGAAGCCATAAAATTCATTCCCCCAAAAGCAGAACTTAATGACTGCGAATCTAATTGTGGATAACCACGTTCACACTTACGTACTAGACAATTACACAAAGCAGTCAGGTGATGGGGCAAAGCTGGCTAAGTATCACGAAGAAAGCAACTAGAGATTGTAGCAGCGCTATAACTGATGGCCTGGCAAGGAATAATAACATGGGTCTTCAATAATGTTTTAACACCCTGCCTTAGTAGCAGCCGACAAGCAAACTGTGGCTACCAAGTGCAACTTGCATTCTAGGGAAACAAGAAAAATGTGGACGGCATTTTTCTAATTGTCCGAATTTCAGGTGTGAATCCTGTTTTACCTATTTACCTGCAGTCAAGGCCAAAAAAATTAGGTCAGCTCACTCAGGGAAATTGTCCTTTCCTCCCATCTACCCACTTGACTAACTGTGGTGACGGCAAGACATTGTTTGGGCAACTTGTGCCAAAATTCCCTTATGGAAAAGATGGGAAATTCCATCTCAATCTGTCCTGCTGCTGCATATTATTCCATGCAGGTTCAGAGGAAGATTCAAGGAGGATTCAGCTGCTGAGATGCCAGCCCTAGGAAAGTCCAGGAACACAGCCCACACTACTATCATAACATGGCACCATTCTGTGGAATACCAATTCCTTTCCATGCAGGGCATGCATGCATCCAACAGAGCAGCTTTGGACTGTACACATAAAGCAGGAGAGGAATCAAGAGCAGCTTGCACTGCTTCTGTTTGTGCTTCCCACTGACTGTGCAGAGTGAGAAAATTAGCATCTTTCCTACTTTATAGTGAGGTTGCATGCCCAGCTATGGATGCAGCCCACAATTGGCTCTTACCAGAACAGGGCAGATGTGTGACTTCTCCTCTGTGGCATACCCAAAGCCGCCCTGTATTTTGTTAGAGACAGCAGCGTGATGCCCTCCAGATGTTTTGAACTACAGTTCCCATCATCCCGGACACCATTGACTATGCTAGCTGTGGCTTATGAAGGTTGCACCATCTGAGGGGCACCATGGGGCTAAGCCTGAGCTAAGCAAATGGATAGTAACAATACTGCCTGCTGCCCCAAATAGGACTGTGCATTCAAAGGCATCCTTGTTTTCTAAAGCATCAGAGGAATATGACAGTCAAGAAAAAACTGACCAAAGTAGTATCGTTGAAAGGAGTTGATCATCTAGGAATCCCTTGGGCTTTGGTTGTGGATACATGAGGCTCTCCCACTTATTCTCACTTCACTTTCATGTCTTGTCCGAAGACCAGTGATGCATCCGCCTCCTCAGCCTCCTCCTAGCCCCCATGTTGTGTTTGGGGATGCCATGCAACTCTGGGTTTTGGACAACATGCCGAAGAGGTGTGATACAATGAGTAAATTGTGCCTCCCTGTCCAAATACTTGTCTTTCCCAGAAGCCCTCCAAAGTCTTCCTGGGAAATGCATTCACAGGCCCCTGCTACCTTAGGAATCTCAAAGGACCAACAAAACCACTCGCTAGAGAAGCCAACAGGAGAAGTAAGAGATTGATTAAGACTCCCCCCTTTTGCGACTTCTGAAACATTTTTCAGAACTCTCATTTGCACACATCACATTTCTTCTCCCCAATAAATCAGCAGGTACATGAACAGTAAAGATCTTCTTTGGAATAAATATGAATAACCAAAATCAGGTATTTTACGTCTGTGTACTGATTGCATTTGTGTCCCATGGACACATGGTGGATATTAAAAGACCATCCCCTCCCTAACACAGCAGGAGTTTGTGGTCTGACTTAATTACGTGGCTATTTGAATTACAGGGAAAAAAGTTTGTATTATTTGAGTTACAGTGTACAGGTGAATGTAATATATTCATGATAATAAATACATGCTCCTTAGTCTTTGGTGTGCTACGATGCTTCTTTACGGGTTTATAGGTAACAGGATTTAGCAAGAGATGGGTGTTGTTGTTTTACAAAAGTAAAGCAAACAACTGAAGACTTGTGTATAAAGGAATCACTCAGGATCTTTGTTCTCTCAACCTTACAAATTTTGCTCAGTACTTGCTATTTAAATTTAAAGGTAATTGATCAAATTTAAAGGCCTTGATCAAACTGTGCATGTAAGCCGTGTCCCATAAACTGTCACTGTGCCAACTCCCTATGAACAGATCATTTTATTACAAACCTGTATGTGCCTGCACAACAAGTAATGGAGCAATCCTAACAATTGTCAATTTCCTTCCTTTCCCCTGTGTAGTGCAACTTTTCTGTGCTGCAAACTATTGCATTTCACATTTTCCTGCCCCCCTTACTATCATGGTTGACCTGCTGCCGTTGAAGGCAAGAGTGATAGCAGAAGAGGAGACCATTTGCACTAGGCTAGCCTTTTCTCCCCTCTGGCCACTGGCATGCAGAGTTAGTCTCATGGGAGGTGGAAATATCTGAGGAACGTCCCAGTAGAGAAGGCTGCTAGGCACTGAGAAATTAAGACACAGGGCTATCTTTTTTGGACGCAATTATGGTAACATCTAGTGCCATGCTGAGGGCTCATGAGTGAATCATAAGAAAAGCCTGCTGGATCAGACCACTGGCCCATCTAATCCATAATCCTGTTCTCACAGTGGCTATGGGAAGCTCAAAAGCATCCATTTCAATTAAGCGCAAGAGAATACTGTTAGGTAGGGTGTGTGAGTGTGGGTGTGAGAGAGAACGAGAACACTGGTTAGATCAGACTGCTAAAAGAGAATACTTACTGCAGCCTTAGAAAGTCCTGCTGAACTCACACAGCATTATTGCTGGGCCACTATGCATGAGGTTGCGCTGTTCATGTTGTCATGAAACACTATGCTGAAAAGCAAAAGGTGCATTTCCACAAGCTTGATTCTTTCACCGAAGAGCAATTACATGCAACTGGTCTGCTGGAACGAACAGAAATACATTGGAAGAGGAAGGGTGAAACTAACATAATTTATTTGCATTTCTGGGAAACGTTTAATGCTGTATCACATATTAACAAACTGATCTCCAAAGTCAAAAACGACATCAAGAGGGAGACATTATTTACAGTGCCACCTGGCAGAAACGTCTCTGGGAAGCAGAGGTCGTGCTCTAGATAAACGTTTCGTATTTAAAAAACAAAGTTTTATATTTAGGAGGGGAGGAGAGGAGAGAGCAGAGCCAAAATCTAAACAAGAACTGAACCAGAAACTCCACTGAAACAGGAGCAGGAAAAAACCCAACGGGGATTACAGTCAGCATCAGGGGTCGAATAATTGTATCACAACAGTAAGAAATTCTGAGGAAATCATTAGAAAAATAGAACAGCCAACCAAAAAGTATATATTTATATATTACTCAATAAAAATATGCACAGATTCTTTCATGGCTTCTTGGTTATTAAGAGATGTATTCCTGAAGAAACCCCACTGTTCCATTAGATTTGTAATGTACAATCGAAAATGGTGTCACACCCATTCTTTGTGCTCCTGAGACCAGACGTACATTGAAAGGCACAACGTAAAGACAGGAAATCCTCCACTTTGTCACCAGGCACACACGTTACAACCCTTCCAACATTTGGAAAACACAGACATGACCACATGTGATTTGTGTAAGATTCCTCAGTGGCTGCATTCATAATGGTAACTCAGGGTTTGCTTTAAGCATGGTTTGTTGAAGATACCAGTATCAGTCTCACAGACCAGCAGGTAGTAACCATGGCTTGTTTCACCTTATGCAAGTTTCGTTTTTCAACTGTTCTTGCTTTCTACCTCTTTCTATAGGAAAGAAGCAAGGATTAGGCCAGGACTCTGGGTTCAGATGTAAGGAAAATGTATAAGCCAGCTTCAAACCATATAGTGGTAAACTCAATTTTACTTTGAGTAAAGGTAAAGGTAAAGGTACCCCTGCCCGTACGGGCCAGTCTTGACAGACTCTAGGGTTGTGCGCTCATCTCACTCTATAGGCCGGGAGCCAGCGCTGTCCGCAGACACTTCCGGGTCACGTGGCCAGCATGACAAGCTGCATCTGGCGAGCCAGCGCAGCACACGGAACGCCGTTTACCTTCCCGCTAGTAAGCGGTCCCTATTTATCTACTTGCACCCGGGGGTGCTTTCGAACTGCTAGGTTGGCAAGCACTGGGACCGAGCGACGGGAGCTCACCCCGCCGCGGGGATTCGAACCGCCGACCTTTCGATCGGCAAGTCCTAGGCGCTGAGGCTTTTACCCACAGCGCCACCCGCATCCCTTTTACTTTGAGTACAACCACTTAAATTAATGAACATGACTTACTTAGGTACTTTACTTTCCATAGACCTACTCAAAGTAAAATCTAGTTGAATACCACCCATGGTTTCATATTCTTATTTGTTGAGCCCAAACCCTAATTAGTTGGCAGGGGTGGGCTTGGATGTAAAAACAAACCATAGTTAAACTAAACAAACCATGGCTTAACGCTATGTGAAAACCAGGCCACTGTCTAAGAGTTTCATCATCTCAGCATAACATTTTTTATTGGGACTTGTGCCAAGAGCAGGAGGAAATAAACCCTGAGGAAATATATGGATTGTTACTAACAGGCATTGTTCCTGCAACATTTGGCCTTTGCTTTGGAAGTACAACATACCAAGGACTAGCACATGAAAGCACCTGTTAAAGATGTACACATGTAACAAATGCCAGACAACCTTTGCAATGGATGCATCTTCTGAGATGGATTCATGAAGTTGTCAAAACAAAGTTATATGGACAAACAACTAAATGATGATGCCGAAGTCCCATGGACGGGGGGCAGTATGTGCCTATAACACATACAGCCCAGTCCTCACACTTGATACATCAGCACATAAACGCTAACCTGTGGGTATTCCGGCACCCTCTGCACTTAAAAGACAGAAGTAACTCTTCCCAACATTTGCAAATTTAAAAAAGTAACCTTTTAGAATGAACTCCAAAGTAGCACTGAATAGTAATACTTTTACAGGACAGTTCAAAATGCAGCAACTTCAAGTGTGTACAAATGATATGCACATGAACACCATTGGCTTCAACGGAAACTCATGAACATGCAATTGGGTTACATTCAAAAAGCATAAAATATTCACTTTGCTATCGCCAGAACTTGTGAAGCCTGGTCAAGGTTACACTAAGGTTAATTTGTAAAATGTTCAAACAGAAATTGTCAGCCTTCTCATGTTCTCTTGTGCAATCTATACAAATGCAATGGGGTGTTATATGCATGGATACCCTAGCGGAATGCATGCACAGTTCCCTGTGCTGTATTAGGAATTCAGTATGCAACAGATGTGGATTGGAATAGAATTTGGGTGCGCACCCACACCTGATATTGCCAATGCAATCTTGGTGAGCATTGCATAATCTGGGTAAGAATGCATTTCCTCCCTCCATCTTGCAGCACAGATTGAAATGTGCAACCCCAGCTATAAAGGGCCACTATGCAAGGGTTACTGCCACATATTACTAACAGCAGACAACACAATGATACACACTAGTCTCTGGATTAGACCTTGCAAACGGCAATAATTTCTAGAATTTTTAACTCCCTTCCTCGGTGTCAATTTTACTTATCTAGTAACATGAACCCCTAATGTTCCAGATCTATAAACTGTGAGCCTCTGCTATACAAATGTTAGGTTTGATTGGACATCACATCTCATAGCCCATAAGCTGAAGTACTTGAGAACACGTCACCATAGGTCACTACCTCTTAATTTCAATGTAACACTGAAATGATACGAGACTGCAGGGCAAATCAACACTGAACAGGTGCTAGGATTACAATGTCGACTGTAGCCCAAGGAACATCAAGCTGTGAATGAGAGGAACATGGAGACCAAAGATCCAACAAAAGTAATGAACGTTGGTTTTCCAGTTAATCGTTCATCTTTTGCCCACAAAGTTGGTTATTTTCTCTCTCTAATAATGAGCAATATTAGAAAAACATAGACATTGGGTAGATTCATGTTACCATGCTTTACATACAATCATTAATTGCCCGTTTTTCTGATCCTTTGCAGCTTCAATCATTTATGGAAGGGGCAATTTCTCTCTCTCTCCCAACCATTATATACACTAGTGGCCAAAATTGTGGGAACCTTTTGGGAAAAGTGTATTTCGGAGGTTTGATGACTCATAACACCTGATTGGCTCTCTAAACACTCCTGCTCACTGGCTACATTCAAATGAAGGAAAGCGACTGCATATCAACCTAAGCAAGTTGTGCTTCCTTTTTCTGGTTATTTGGCTATAACTTTTGATAGAATAAAGATAACTGAACAAACCTTGTTGCATTACATTCTTAATTAAACTATCTTTCCACTGATATATAATTTTATGGTATTAATCCAAAATAAAGTGGTGTTACGAGTCATCAAACCTCAGAAATACACTTTTTCCTAAAGGTTTCCACAATTTTGGCCACTAGTGTATATAATGGTTGGGAGAAAGAGAGAGAGAAAAATTGCCCACTCCGTAAATGATTGAAGCTGCAAAAGATCAGAAAAATGGGCAATTAGTGATTGTATGTAAAGCATTGTAACATGAATCTACCCAGTGTCTATATTTTTCTAATACTGGTTATTTTCTCTCTCTAATAATGAGCAACTTTGTGGGCAAAAGGTGAACAATTCACTGGAAAACCAACTTTCATTACTTTTGTTGGATCTTTGGTCTCCATGATCCACCATGTGAACTTTTACAGCTGGAATGAAGCCACAGGTCTAAATGTAGTGCCGTGCTCTTCCAAAGTTCCTTCTATATGGGTGGTTTTAACCAAATCCCCAGCTGTGTTCCTGTGCCATGGTTGGGTGTGATCCTAGCCCAGGGTTTCAAATTCTATGCACACCCAACTAGAAGGAAGTCCTGCTGAACTCACTTAAAACCATCTTCCAAGTGAAACATGCATCAGGTCAGGGTACACATTAGGCATATTCACCCTTGCTGACTTAAGGGTTTGCACACACATCCCCTTCCATACTGGGCTTGTGCCCTTCAGGGAGAAAAATGATCTAACAGAGACAGTGAAAATAAGACAATTCCTGAAGGAAGTGGTGGTGGCTTCCATTGATTCACGAGGCTACTTTGGACAGGCTCCTCTGTTACAGAACCATATAGAATTGTAGAGTTGGAAGGGACCCTGATGGTCATTTTGCCCAACCTCCTGCAATGAAGTGAAAGACCTCATACAAAGTAAGATACCTGTTCGGTCTTTTTCTTTTGAGCGTTAACACAGAAGGCAATGCTTCAGAATACGGCTTTATATACAACAAAGTGTCCCAGCAGCTGTACAAAACCACCTTCTTATTTAAACATAATAAAAATAAAAAGTTTCCCACTTATTTACAAAGACGAGCTCCAGTAAATGCTGGCCTGTTCTTTACAATAGCAAGCCTACAGCAGCAGCAGCAGCAGCAATCAGGTTTTCACCAAACTCAAGCTTTGCATGTATTTACATTTATTTAGGCTTCAAGAGTGAGGGCAACACAGCCTATCTAGTCTTCCATCCCCACCCCAAGTGGCAAAATCCTACACCAATAAGCAGAAGTTTACATTCCACGTCCTGAGCACCCCCCATCTTCAACCATGCAAGGGCCTGGCAGTGGCAACAGCACAGGGGTAAGCACAACAGAGAGATTTAGCGATCCCTGTTGGTACTACCAGTTTCAGCACTACTGAGAACAAGGGTGGGGGATCTGTAGTCCTGCAACACCTGGAGGTACACAATTCCCATCACCCCTAACCATTGGCTGGGGTTGATGGGAGTTGGGAGTCCAACAGCATCCCACCACCTGAATTGAAGCAAGCAGATGAGGAGGAGAGCCACTAGCCTAGAAAATTCAATTTTATTTTTTTAAAGGAAGTAGCATATGACATCACACATACTCTCAGCGCTCCTTTAAGCATGGTCAGGATTCCGACCTCTGATCGTTTCCCTGGGGTGGGGGATTTGCATGAATCCCATGTTAGACACGCACACGATTTGCTGATATACAGTACAAAACTTAATGCTCCTTTTGTGAGATGTTTACCCTGTTTTTCCCTCCTGTTCGGAGAAATAAATACATAAAATCAGTTCTAAAATAAGCTACCGAATGACAAAACTACAGCTACGCTAGATCATAGAAGTTTACTGCTAAAAACTTGCTGCATTAGAACTGTTATCAATGTCTAGACTTTGGCGCTCAGAACACAGGAAGCCACCTCCCAGAATTAAGGACCCAGTACCTGCCACAGGTACTAACTTCATATCCAACTCGTGGAATATGCAGCAAGCGAAGTTTGTTAGGGAGAAGACGCCTCCTAAGGTTAAGTTGGGGTCCCTGTCACATAGGTCTTTAGAGATGATGACCAGAACCTTGATTTGAACTAGAAACCTAACTTCCAGCAAAGTCAGACTGTTAGCCTGATAACTGGCAGGGCCTTGAGAATAGTTTCAGAGCCTTCTTCAAGGGCAGCTTCACATTAGGGCACATTTTACAAATCGGTCCAAGGGGCTACAGAACAGTCTTTGCCAGCCTGGCACCCTCCAACTGCAGCTGATGGAGGTTGTGGTCCCAAACATCTGGAAGGTGCTAGGTTGGCAAAGGTGGACAACAAATGAACCGAGGACACGGAATTCCACACAGGCAAAGCCTACATAGAAGTGATTTCTATGTGGGAGTACGCAACAGACAACTGGTGAGCAACTGATAACTGGGGATCTGGGCTCAAGCTGCAACTAAGCCACGATCTGTGGACGTCCTAATTAGGTAAGCTGGAAGTTCCAAGACAGCATGTAGTAGAAGAATGAGCCTTTTAAAACGGCACAGAGAAGAAATTGACCAATCCATTGGAACAAATCTGAAAGAATTAATGCAGATGCTGAGGTGGGGGAACTGCGCACACATAGGCTTTCGCAGACCCTGGACCGGAGTGGACGGCTGTTTGTGCAGAGTTCCAGGATCTATGGGAACAGGCAGGCAGAGCTCTACACACATAGGCTTCCACCTGTCAGACATGCGGAAGGGCTAAGAGGAACCACAAAATGGTTCCTGTTGGATCAGGCTAGCAGGCTGCCTGTTCTGTCCTCACCATGGCCAATCACTGCTATAAAAACCAGAAAGGCACAGGGCGCCTTAGCCCGTCAGAGAGGACTAAGCTACCATCGGCAAACGGCCTTTCAAGAATACTGGAACCATGAAATCTTTGAGTGTAATATTGCAAGCCGCCCTGTGATCTTCAGATGAAGGGTGGTATAGAAATTTAATTAAAAAAATAACCAGATACCTATGGGAAGCCTACAAATAGGACTCAAGTACAACAGCACTTTTCCCACCAGTGATTCCCAGCAACTGTTTCTATGAGAGCAGAGGCAGGGCAGAGCCACCATGGCTAGCTGCCATTGCAAACCACATCCTCCGTGAATTTGCCTAATTCTCTTCTACAACAATCCAAGTCAGTGGCTGTCGCTGTATCACTCCCATAAGATTAGAGATGGGAAGGCTTGGGGAAAAAAACAGAAAAATGAGGGGGAGGACACACACACACCAGGTTTCCCCCCATTTCCCCCCCAAAGCCATTTCCCCCCCCCAGAAAAATGGCTTTGGGGAAAAACCCTGGGTTTCCCCCCAATTTTTCCAGGTTTTTTCCAGGCCTTCCCATCTCTAATCTTATGGGAGTGAAATTAATGGTTTCAAAGACGTGCTGTGTGAAGAAGTACTGTCTTTGGTCTGTCCTGGATCTTACAACGTCCCGCTTGATTGCATGTCCGTGAATTCTAGTATAATGAGAGAAGGAGAAAAACTTTCACAGGCAAGGAATCTTTTGTACACTGCCCAGGAATCAGTCATGCTCACCTCAAGGGCCACTTGTGGCCTTTTGTTTACCAGCTAATCAAGTCTTCCATGTGCCGTAATATGGTCACCCTCATACTGCCCCCCCAACAGCCTTCCCCAAGTTGGTGCCCTCCAGATACTGCAACTCCCAACAGCACAGGCCTTCTGTACCTATGACCTCAAGGGATGTTGCAGGGCCAAGCGACAGCAGTGAAGAAGTGCCAAACCAAAACAGCAGAACCTGGGGGGCACCTCCAAAGGAACATTTCCCCCCTCAGAAATCCCTCACATAAAAATAGGATCAACCCTCCCGAAAAATAAAGATTTCCCCTTCTTCTAAGTTCACACAATTTGCCTCAATGGCAAAGATATGAAGCGGCTAGACATAAATATCAAATAAAAAATAAAATCAGGTTTCCAAGAGAACAGCAATGAAAAAATAATAATATTAATAAAATAATAATAATAATAATAATAATAATAATAAGCTACAATATTTACAATGGATTGTTTTCTACAGCAAGGATCTGCATGAACTTGATGTTTCTTTTGGAAACCCACTTTTTCTTCCTTTTCTTTTTACAAAAGAGGTGGCTCTCTGTCTATGCCTTCCAGAGGTTTTGGACAACTCCTCCCTTCCGTCCCGGTCAGCTGGCCCCAGGTTACCAAGGGGTAGTCTATGCATAGGTACAAAAAAAGCCAACCTTCTTCCACACCCGCACTCAACAGGAAGGCTGACAGATGGCTTTAGAAGCACAAGAAGCTTCTGCTAATTATTAGGGCGCATCGCTCAAGCTGCATGCCTGTGCCAACACTCTTTGGAAACAGCACAAAATCCTATTTGGAGTTCAGCATGGCTAAGGTGGCATCTCAAAGAGTTCATTGCACAAAAGCAGCACTCAGCAGGTAAACTGCCATACAGCTGCATGAGCAAGAACTTGTCTATTTAGCACAGTAAATTATCACTGCACACTCCCTTTTGCTTCCGAGTGTTGCATGCTTCTCCCTCTTCTCTAGAGAAAAGCCGGCCCTCGCAGGACAGGTGAAAAGCCACTATAGTTTTGACTTCAAAGACAACACACTTGTCCAAAATCTTCCATGAACTAATGCTGTTTCTTACCCTGCACCAGAAGATCCAAGTTTGGCAGAAGCTCCCTCCCCACAAAAATAAGTTATTTCAAAATGTAACAGTGTTGGGAGCTGGACCCAGCAGACCAGGGTTCAAATCCCATCTCCGAAATGGATTAATTCAAGGTTGCATACGTTGCTTTCTCTCAGCTTCAAGGAACACTGGAGACCCACCTCACAAGCTTGCGATGAAGAGGAGCAAGATGAGAAAGGGAAAGCACTAAACTCTGGCCAGTAACTCCTAATTTTGCAGATTTATATACCCTGGGGACAAACAAGCAACCACTTTTCTACACAGAATTATACCATGAGCTAGAAGCTTTTCTCGTAAAAGCAGTAGGGTCTGTTAGCTGCCTAAACGAAGTATTTTGTGTCACAACAGATAGAATTCAGCCTGCAAGCCACTACCCTACAGAAGACTGTTGCAACGTTGCATTTCAAAGCGCAGGAGTTGCCTGCATAAAATAAGTCAAGTACAATGATTAAATAACACCACCAAGTCCTTTTCTCAATCAGATCAGTCCTGCAAGGGGCAGGGTGTTTTGCTAACACACAGGTGGTTGGGGCGGGTTGGGGTGTTGTTTTCATTTAGGCAAGGCCCCTTGGTTTTTGTGGTCCAACACAGGTGACTTTGGAGACAGTACAAAGTCTGCTTCACTTGAATCCAAGGACAGTACCTGGGGAATTACTTTGCAGGGCCTCTGTAAGGCTTGGTCTCATAGCAGCATTGGAAGTGAACTGGCACACTGATAAGCTGTTATCTTTCAATATACTTATGACAAGGGAGGGGAAGCTGCCAGCATCAGATAACAGTGTTGTTGGAAGTGTGCCAGAGGTCTGGCTTTTTCCTTGTGATCCCTTATAACTGTACTACCAAGGTAAAAGCAAGCTGCAAGGGGCAGCAGTGGGACATGGAAGCCCACCTGATACTCCACAGAACAAAATACTTCAGGGTCCCAGAGGGGAAAGCACCCTTCCCTGTAGAGGATGCTCTCAGGTGTCCTTTAGCGGAACCAGGCTGCCAATCATTTGCAACTGTCCACATTGTTGTCCGTACTTCGTTCTGTATCCATCGGTACTGAGTAAGACGCCTCCACACTGTGCCACATGCCGTAGGTAAAATAAATAAGCAGACCTGGAGGGAGGGAGGTAAAGGGGCACAGCGTTGGAGAGAGCATGAAGTCATCCGACAGCACACAAGCCAAAGCATTACGCGTGTTTAATCTCTCCCACTGAAAATGCCTGATGTCTTCCAATCAGCAATACCACCACCTGGTTATGCCACATATAAGGTCAGAACCAAGCCCAGCCCTGTCCCCCGGCAGGATGCAGCAACTTGCAGTAGGCAGAACCACGGAGGGTGGGAAATAGATGAAGGCAGAAACTGGTGTCTGAATGGTGCTACAAGACTTCTGGAAGGACTGGCCCTATAGTAGTGGGAAGGGGGCATTTGGACTCTGTTTCAGGAACCAATAAAATCTTGTAGCACTGTTCACAACTTCCTTCTGTTTAGAATATGTATATTTTTTTTAAGAATTCCATCATTCTGCATGGTCAGAAACCCAGTTGCAAACTCACCTATCACCATCCAGATAGCAAATCGTATCCACGTGCCAACATCCAGCTGCATCATGAGATAAACATTCACAAAGATGCTCAAGATTGGAAGGATGGGAAGAAAGGGGACCTGGAAAAAGAACAGAAACCAGGTTGTTGTGCCTCTGGATGGCATTTTGGGACAAGCCAGTTTCCAACACCACATTATCGATGTGTGGTTGCACAATCCATTTGTGACGAGTGAGCCTCCTATATCACATTGCCAATGGAGGGGCATATGAGAATATCATTTGCTTTCAGCTGGTACCTAAAACTGGCCCTGTAAAAAATTCATTAGCAATTTAAAAGAGCAATAACATCATCCAGGAAGTTCCTCTGGAAATGGAATTAATGTCTGCTGTTAGTTTAATTTTGCCTTCCAGATGCTGTTGGAGCATTTGGCTTTACTATTTTATTTCACATCACCTGGGACCTTTGCTTTAAAAAATAAAAATGGAAAAGCCATGTATAACTTTTAAAACTAGTACTTAGCTGGGGGAGGAGTATTTGGGGTACTCTCTCTTTTTAGAGAGAGAGAAAAGCAAAGGGTACTTAAAAATCCCCACCCACCCCCTTTTCAGGGTTAAAAGTCTGTAGAAAGAAAGAAGGCTGAAATACAAGTTTGGTGGGGCTTTTCCCCCCTTTTTTGCAGCTCAGTGAGAAGAGAGAACAAGAGCTCCTTTCCAGGGGCTGCATCTCAAAGTGTGGAGCTGGTGCTTTTGGAGATTACGCTGAGATTGCCAAAAAAAGAAACGCAGCCTTGCATACCCTCTGCCTGGCCGCTATTAAACATAAATAGACAGATTGCCAGATGAGAAGCAAAAGAAAGGAATATTGGGAGTGCTGAAGGTCAAGCTGGAGGTGCACATAGCCAATCTGCGTGGGAAAGTTTGCTCTGCGCCTCCTCTCCCCCTGTCCATGCCTTGCTAATTCCTGCCCTTCTAGAAAAAGCAGGTTAACCTCCATTAATCTCTCTTTCCATGCATGGAGCCAACAGAGACTCCGACTGCTTCCCCCACCCAGAACCACCCCAGCCCATTCCTTGCAGACCACTTGCCTTAAACGAGAGCTTGGTTTTACTTTCAGGTTGTCTCCAGATAACCACTGTGAAGAAGAAGCAGAGGAGGAAAACGGCCACAAGCAGAGCAATAGCCCACGGGGTCCCGTTCCTCAGAGCATCTTTGCCAAGGACAGTCCAGCTACAGAAGGTGACGATAAGAACACCTGGCAACAAGACACATGGAACAAATGTTTGTCGCGCTGATTCGGTGGTGGGAGGGAAAGACTGAATACAAAAGCAACGGTAATTTTAAAATCAAGCCAAGAACGGTTCGTAGCAAATGCAGCGGGGCGCTGCAAGGTTCTGTAGTTTTGATCCTAAATCTGTGCATGCACAAAAATTCTGGGGCAAGTCTGCCCCTGTTCCTATATGTTTTAGCAATAGACACGGCAAGTTGGTGGACAGGTCAAATCCATTTCCGACTTGGCTCTCCACCAGTACGATCTTATGTCCCAATCCAACAAAAGGGACACAGGGAGCTGACTCATTCCAAGTCAGATCAATAGTCCACCTAGCTCAGGGTTCTCTGCTCAGACTGACAGCAGCTCTCCAGGCAGCTCTATGTGGAGAAACCCGGGACCTTCTGCATGTACAGTGGTACCTCGGGTTACAGACGCTTCAGGTTACAGACTTCGCTAACCCAGAAATATTACCTCGGGTTAAGAACTTTGCTTCAGGATGAGAACAGAAATTGTGCAGTGGCAGCACAGCAGCAGCAAGAGGCCCCATTAGCTAAAGTGGTGCTTCAAGTTAAGAACAGATCTCCAGAACAAATTCAGTTCTTAACCCAAGGTACCACTGTAAATCAGATGCTCTATCACAGCACTATATAGCCTATAGGCTTCTATATGCACAGCCAACACGGATGCCAGTTCACTTCTGGCTGCTCATTCAAAACCATATTCTGACCCTCTTCCAAGCCCCGGGGATTAATCTTCTGATATAGACTGGGGTGCACAAAATTAGATGACTGCAACCAGAGTTCACAGACCGTAAGTGTGCAGACTCTCTTAATCATCCCCAATGCTGGTGTCCTGTTGGACCAGAATACTTCACCAGCCTCAACTCCCATCAGCCAGCATGGTCAGTGGTCAGTTGTTGTACAATTAGATCTGGAGGGCACCAGAAAATTCTAACGGAGAATTAGGTCTTGGCAAAGGATCTAAAAAGTGGCAGCTCCCGGTATTTAAACAAACCCATATGCTATGTTTTATGGGAGTTTTGCAAGTCAACCTTACAAAACGAAGCTGCAGCTGCATGCGTTATAGAGAACTAACCACATTATCAATGTCACATGTTCGGAGAAAGGCCAGAGCAGAATAAATTAACAATTGCACACATGAAACCAACTCTTACCTATGATGCAGGAGGAGACATTTACTACGGACCCAGAGAGTTTGGAAGGATCAGTATTTTGGGGGCGGAAAACAGCTTTTAAGGAGAACTTCTCTCCCTTTTCAGGCAGAAACGCAGTCTGAGATTCACTGGTGCTCACGGACTCGTTGTTGTCTGCCTCATCATTTGTACTAGCCATCTGGTACGCCAAGTTCGGCTGCTCCGGTTGGTACCTAAGAGAAAAAAAGAATTGGACAACATTAAGCCCCATCCTATCACCTGTAACTATAAGAGAGTCTCACCTAATATGTTTTCTTCCCAAACTGATTCCCAGGCATTGAAAACAGTGACTCTGAAGGAGAGGGTTGCTAAATACCACTTAAATCTTCTAAGCCAGTGGCTGTCTAGAATATTGCTCAGTATCCCCAGCAGGAAAGAGCACGGCCAGTGAGGGTTGGGCCAAGGGTGAATGTGGCACTGGGGGGGGGGGACAAAAAGGTGACACATCCCTGAACTAGTCTGATGAAGAGTTCAGGACAGCTCTGAAGCTTGCACACTATATTATGATGTTTTGGTTGGCCTAAAAACACACACACCATTGTCCCAATTTTGGAATTTTTAAATAAATAGCATCTGGAACACTTGAGAACCATCTTCTCTGCTCCGTAACACAGAAACGTTGTGCCGTACCTTAGCACCAACACGCAGGCAGCCACCAAGGAGTAAGCAAGAAGCGTCCCAATGGACATAAGGTCTACAAGATCCTTCAGGTCCAAGAGAAAGGCCATGACAGCTGGTGGGAGACAATGAAGAGACAGATAATGCAGTGGGGTAAATCCATTTCATATATAAGACTAGTTAGCCATGACAGTTCACTCCTTATTCACACTTTCATTCCAAGCAACCCAAGAGAAAGACAGGAGTCCCGTGCCTTAAAGAAGTGTTAAATAAAGGCGTAAGAGAAGGCAGTGGAGACGACCACAACTGCTCTTCTCCCTGCCCTAAGACCCTGCTCCTAAAGCAGGGGGCATTTTGTATCTGTGGAAGCACCCTGTGACTTTTAGAAGCCTGGTTTTCCACACAAATAAATATGAATACCAAGGCCAGCATTCAAAAAAAGAGCATTTAAACCCCAGAAGAGATTTGCTCGTCCTGTTTTCACAAACAGCAGCAGTCTGTTGAAGCCTGCTTATTAAACAGAGGCTCCGCTTGGCAGAGGAAACAGCAAAAAAACAGTAAGAGTACATGTGGGTATGTTTTAATCCTGGTCCCAATTCTTTGCATGATGCAACAGACAAAGGAACTGCCTGAAGCAATTCCAAGATGAGATGCAATCGCAACACTAAACTCTAGAAAGTACAAGGCAGTCTCCTTGCATAACACTTAAGTGCTTTATTTGAGGAACTAATGAGAATGTGCTGAGGACTGGGGTGTTAGCTCGATCTGCTCATTTTAAAACAGGATTAGCTACTCAGTCCTTTCTTCACGGATCTTAGGGTCTCACCTGCAATAGCTCCCGAGGTTATTGTAGCCATCATCGGAGTCTTTGTCTTCTCATTAACACGAGCCAAGAACTTGAACAGTAGTCCATCTTCTGCCATAGCGTAAATAACTCTTGGCATTGGAAACATGGACCCAAGGAGACTAGAAAGAGACAAGGGCATAACCTAAGCTCATCTTGCATTCACGAGGCAAACCATCACTGCAAAAACAATCTAGCAAGAGTGTCTTTATCTATACTTTAAGGAAAATTACTTTCTTTAGGAAACCAACACCAGCACCTAAAGAAGGGATTTGTAATTTATCGAGCAATGGAAGACAAAGGAAAAGTTTTGCCATCTTGCAGTTGCGAGGTCTAGATGTTTCTCCTTCCTTCCCATTCCCAGGGGCCACAGGATACACAAAACAGCCTTAGAAACATCAGGTATCCCAAATTATTCTAAACCCAGTTAGCCAGCCATATAAGCTGAGCCATATAAGCTCCTACAAAGAAATGGTTCATTTTTGACTCCATAGCAAGGCTGGTGTTAGGTCACTGCCCTTAGAATGAGTCACACCAGTGACCCTCTAGCTCAGAATTGTCTATGCCAGTGTTCCTCAGCCTTGGGTCAACCATATATTTAATCTTAGCCAATGGCCAGGGATGATGAGAACTGTAGTTCAGCAACATCTGGGGAGTCAAGGTGGAAGAACATTCATCCATGCTGGCCACCAGAAGATCTCAAAAGTTTTCAGACGGGGTTCTTCCCCAGCACTGCTGGGAGATAACAGGGACAGAGTATCTTGCAGGCAAAGGAAGCACTCCTGTATCACTGAGCTACAACCCTTCACCTATCATGGAAGGGATTTTTTAAAAGGCCCCCCCTCTCCCCACAATCTGCATCTATGACATTGTGAAATGAGGCCAAGGCGAACACAAGCAATCTCAAAGGGTCTATGTATTCTGGGCATTTACGTCTTAGAACAGGGCAGGTGAGCACAAACCCCACTGAGCAAGTAGCAAAGGAAGCCCCAGCATCTTACCTTGTGGATAAGGCACAGAGTGAACCAACAGCCACTGCATAGTTTGCACCATCCCATCCCACATACTTAAAAGCAACAGGCAGGGGGCTGTTTTTATCTAACATGTAGTAAGGCATCATGAGGGTAAGAGCAGCCGACACACCGAAGTATGCAACAAAGCAAATCAGAAGCGATGCAACGATTCCTATTGGAATTGCTTTCTGGGGATTTTTCACTTCCTCACCTACGAAAAGAAAACAGCCACAAAGACTGAAAATGTTATTACAGAAACAATGAAGGGGATCAATCCTTTCTTTTAGCCGTTATCTCCCCCTTGCAACCCGATGAAATAATTGGGGGGGGGGAGAGAGAAGCTGAACCTATATTCTCCCTCAATTCAAGGGGTGCCAAGAAGCTTCAATTGCAGGGAGTTTTTGAAGGGGCTGTTTACTTGTTAAGATGCCATTTCCTCTCTTGTTCTTTAAAATATTATTTTGCAGAGTCAAATTTTTAGCTTTATTTTAGTTGTGTAGATATACTGCATTGTATTGCTTTACCTATCAAGGTGTGCCAAACTGTTTTACAGTAACAAAATACACAATCTATGAGAAATTCAATGTGGAAAAAAATATTTTCCAAGACATTTTCTCCCCCTACAACTTTTGTTGATATTTATCAACTATGAGAGCTAAACATTTTTTTTTGAATGGAACCTAAGATCTTCGAAGGCACAGATAGGAAAAATTTAGCCTTGTGGGATCTACTTTGGGTGCTGCTCTTTTTTACCATAAGCAGCTGGTGCCGGGTGCAAAACAAGGGTGGTGATGTTGGGGGGCAGAGGGAGAAGAGGGACAGTTGCAAAATGGTGTCTCTAATGATTAAGGCAATTAACTAAGGCAATACAAATCTACTGAGGTGCAGTAGATCAGCATGAAGACATGGCCAATGGCAACCAATTTATGCTCCTATTTTGCAAGTGGGGTTCATGGAGGCTGAGAGAGAAATGATTAGCACAGGGCCAAATTCTGAAGACCAGCTTTCCACACTACCCCCATCAATGTTCACTTGCTATTGTGAAACAACAGAGAGCTGGAAATCCTTGGCAATCTTCAGTAAGTTGCCAAGAGATATATCGGTAAATCCAAATTTACCTTCTGCCCACCCCCGTTCTAAGGGAACACAATCATTTAAAAAAGCATTTCAGTGAACTCATTCACCTGCAGGTCATACGATGGTCAACAGCAACAGTCTACTGTGCACTTTATTAAAAAATAAGGCTTTATTAAAGCTTTTTTTCATACTACAATAAGATAAAGGAAGCTAATCTAAAGAAAAATAAAACCAGAGAAAGAAAGTGAGAATAAAATGCAGAGTCCTCCCTCAAAGGAAGCTCTTAACCCTTGTTTCAGACTGTGCAAAATTCAACTGATTAGTTGGCATGGTCTACTATGAATGCTGTGATATGCACATGTACCTGGGAGTGTCCTACTGAATTCTATGGGGATTACTCCTGAGTAGACGTGTACAGGATGGCACTGCACAACGATAATCAAGCAAGGCTGAAACAAATAATAATGACTGCAATCTGGAACTCCTTGAGGTGACTGCTATCGTGCATGTCACACAGATGTACTGAGTCCTTTCTTCCCCAAACTAATTTGATGAGAAAGAAATTTAATGAACTCTTCTTCGGATATGCATGTAACCTATTAAGCAATTAAATAGAAACCTTATTTCCTTCAGTACCTAAAAAAGTGAATCGTACTGACATTTTGCAATATGTGCATTTAATTCAGTTGATGGAACTGCCTTTTTAAAAAATGACAACCATATTGCATGATATCTAAATATAGAAGCAAGTGGGTTTTTACATATTGCAGAAGAGGGGTTATGATCAGATTAAGAGATTAACGCTTCATAGGCATCTAGAATACAGCTCAAAAAAGCGTAATTGGCTATAATTCTGCACCTGGAGATAAACTCATCAGAGGTCAAGTTAATCATGCACAACTTAGTAGGTTCTGATCATCTCCATTACAAAAGACCAGACCCAGGACATGCAGGAAGTTTGTGTCACAAGGAGGCGTTCACGCAAACATGAGATCACATACAGCATGAAGGTTACACTTTACCATTTGATTCTGCTGAACCCACAGACTGACCCTTAAAATCTGATGTGGATCTACAGGACTTTGCTAGTTTTAAATCCACCTAACATTATAGACTTGTAAGGCTAAATCTCCTCCCAGAAAAGAAGTCTGCATTGAGCACCTGTTGAATCTTGCAGTGTGTGAGTAGTTCACTTTTACTGCATTCTTATGATAAAGAACACAGTGGAAACACTGAACTGGTGTATGCTGTCAAAATCACCCAACACTTCACTCTTCTCCTGTTCCTGCCTTGAGGCTGAGAAACAAGCCATAGCCTGGCTTGTCATGTTGTCCATACCTGGACTTGTGGTTTGCTCCTCTCCCATAAAACCACAAATGGTATCCAAGAACTCTGCTCATTCACATTAAGCCACAATTTATTTCAACTATAGTTTAATGTGATGTGTGAACCAAGTCCCAGTGGCCTAAACTGCACAAGGAAGTTGGCAGAACTGAAACAAAAGTCGACCTTGACTAGAAGGAAGGAAGGAAGAGGAAGAGTGACAGGAAGACAGACTAGAGCCTTGGGGTGTAAGAAAAGGTCAAACTGCAAATATTTTAGGCATTTTTGGTCATTTAGCCCTTAACTTATCAACTCTCCATGGCAGCTGCATGATATAATCAGTGAACTTTACCCAGTAGTTTGATGCAGAAGACCTGCTGAAATCAATGGACCAATATTAGACATATCCATCTGTTTAAATGGTCTACTCTGAAATTGGCTACAGCTCAGTACAATTAAATTAACTGAAACTGTACTCAAGAGATACTTAGCCATGAAAACAAGGCAGGTTGCTAGCTTTATGGAAAGAGATTCCATGTGTGTACCAAAAAGTATATTGCTTATTATTGTGCAATATTGCTTATTTTTGTGTGCAAGCATGGCTGGAGTGTTTAAAGCCATGACCACAGAAAGGCAGCCGATTTGGAGAACAGAATCAAAAACCTGTTTGCTTGTTTCACAAATTTAATGTAAACATTTTTTTAAAAAATCCCTTTCCCCAAACACTGAGTGGGTGAACAAGAAGTGACTGTTCTTTGTTAAGTTATCACCTTCTGATCTTTAAAAGGGCTCCCTTGTACAGAAAGTACATTTGGTAAACAAAAGCAATTAGTTAAAAGACAATCTATCAACTAGAAGTTCTTCAGCTATTACTTTCATTCCTCTTTGCAGGACTGCCGCGGCTTATAGGTATTCACACACAACTTTGCTAATGAGGGAAGAACTGCCACATTTTCCTTTGGCCCCCATTCCCCAATCTTTGTGGTCTCATGATCAGCCACATACAAAGAAGGCCGAACTGTGGGCAGAATTCATAATGAAGTACAGTGTTTATTCACTGTGAGTCCTGGGTCCTTACCTGTGGTGGCAATGCAGTCAAATCCCACAAATGCATAAAAGCATGTTGCTGCCCCCGAAAGAACTCCAGAAAATCCATAGGGCATAAACCCGCCAACACCATGTTCTGGAATGGTTTCACTAAAAACAGGCAACAAGAGATGTAGGTTATTCCTCTCAACAAGACTAGTAGATTCAAAGGACAGTTTGCAACACACTGATGACTTCAAGAGGAAGAATTGCCTCCAACAAGACATGCAGTTGACACATCAATGGTCCATCTATAGTAGAGATGTATGCTGGTTTTACACCACTTTTAGGTGCAGGTGAGGATTACTGCCCTCATGTCGTGATCTGGGCTTCCCACAGGTGTCTGACTAGCCACTACAGGAAAAGGGATAGTAGATCGGACATGCTTTTGGGTCCAATCCAGCACAGTTTAACTGTTGTGGCGTCCCTTAATGAATCTTGAGAACTGTAGATTGGTAGAGAAACTTTGGGGGCTCTGTACCCTGCTAAAAGCACAAAACCTGTAGATTTGAGATCATCACAAACCACAGCACACAAAGGCTATAATACTCCCAGTGGACACAGGAAATTATATTAAAATTAGTGGGACTTACTTCCAAGTAGGCACAGATAGGGTTGAGTAACACATTTTGTTATTATATGGAGATTAATTTTATTATTATTATTATTATTATTATTATTATTATTATTATTATTATCATCAACAACAGCAACCACAAAACATTTAGGCTAATTTGCGAAATGTTTTTGAAACCATTCAGAAGCTTTTTTTCAAAAAGAATTTTTTATTTCCTCTTGTTAAATCTAGCAAAACTTTGTAAGTCACAGAGAAGATTTGAAACATCTGATTGCTTCTTCAGAGGTTTTGGCCAAAGGATGCAGAGCTTAAATTCACAAAGTACAGTGCAAGAAAATCAAAAGGACACCTCAGAAGTTCTTCACTTAGACCAGCCTTCCCCCAACCTGGTGCCCTCCAGATGTTTAGGACTAGAACAGCCCCAGCCAGCACAGCTGGGGCTGATGGGAGTTGTAGGGCAGCAGGTTGGGGAAAGCTGGCTTGGATCCTAATTCTGTACTGAATGTGTCCTCAATAATTTTAGCCTGGCAAGGCCTTCACTACGATGCCCAAAATAATCATATGCAGTTGCCAGAGCGTTTGTTCCTAGTTCCTTTTGTTCCAAGTAGGCTTAATGTTTTACTATTTTTCTTTGTGCGTTCAATAGCAGAGTGCTTTGGCTCTGTGCTGCATAGAACAATCTATACGCAAATTGTTTGTGTTGAACAATTCTGCCCTGCAAAAACGGAATTGTGGCTCCTTAAAGACTAGCAAGTTGGTTGAAAGTGCCAACTCCAATTAAGCAATGGCCACTTAATTGTATTCCACCCTCAGTCACTTGACAGGGACAGAGAAACTTTCCCCCATAATTTCCCCAGCAATGACTTATCATAGCCACATGCTGGCTGTGGGCAGGGCCAAAGTCAATGGCGAGTGGAGCAACACCTTTTCTCACTCTGCCATCCCATTCTGGTTCAACCACGGTTCTGAACACTTACAGAGGCTAGCCCTTGCGTGAAATCCATATGGAGAAACGTTCTATCTCCTGGATGGACCCCATTTCTTTTCAAAGGCTCCATGTCTCATCCAATTTAAAAGGCCTATATTTTGTTTCCAAACGTCACAGACATGCTTAATTAACTCAAGCATAGCCAAGAGGCATTGTTACATAAATCTAGCAACAACTCCTAAATCCAGTTATGCAAGGCTGGGTGATGAATGCCCAACAGATGTATTTAGAAGGACTCTACTGCACAGCCCAGAATGAAATTGCAAAGCATCTCTATACGGCTGTCACCACTATTCCTAAGCAAAGGAAATGTTTCCCTAAAAGACAAAAGTAGAGGAAAGTGAAAGTAGCAGGCGTGAAAGGAAGGTGGCATTACATCACCAACCTCTCAAGATATTTATTTATAGAAGGATTTGTGGACTGCTTCCGGAAATATAATAATAATAATAAATAATAATAATAATAGAATTTATATACCACCCTATACCTGCAGATCTCAGGGTGGATTACAGAATAAAATCAAAATATAAAACCACAACATCCATAACCAAAATAAAAACAGCCACCCAATAACTCCCCCAAAAAAACATTTTTAAAGAGCATAGGGTGTCAATCAAATCAACCAAAGGCCTGGTTAAAAAGGAACATTTTTGCTTGGCGCCTAAAGGTGTATATTGAAGGCGCCAGTCGAACTTCTCTAGGGAGAGCGTTCCACAGACATGGGGAGCCACTGCAGAAAAGGCCCGTTCTCGTGTTGCCACCCTCCGGACCTCTCAAGGAGGAGACACACGAAGAAGGGCCTCAGAAGATGTACAGAAGATATGTAACAGTAGAACTAAAAACAACAATCACAGCAGTATATCCAAACATTTAAAACATGGGCCAATTAACACACATGAAGAGCAGTGCTATATAAAAGCAGCATCACAGATAGACCCTGCTCCTGGCAGTCAAACTCTGTCGAGAAGCTCTGATCCTAGGAAACAGGGCAGTGGCCGGTGTCCTGAGCCAGGACAGGCAAAAGGCACTCTGTGTGCCCTAGCACGGTTGAGAAGAACCCTCACAGCGTTTCATAGGAGATGGTAAAAGGAGGAGTCCTCTGCTACTGGAAATATCGAGGCAGACTCATAGATTTGATTTCTGAAGGACTCTAGCAAATAAGCCTACAAACATGTCTTACTGCATGTTAAAATAAAATTGAACCTACTTGTGTGAAGGATCCGAGATGTTTTCTGGAATCTGCCAGTGTTTAATCGAGCCCTTCACAAACCCCGACACTATCACAAAGCCCAAGACAAGGACGTTGATACAGGTGAACACTTTGTTAACCATGGCAGATTCTTTCACACCGAAAGTTAGAAGTCCTAGAAAATGTACAGTGGTTAATTAGACAAGCTCTATCAACAGCAAAGGTATTTTGTCTCTGGAAAGATCAGCGCTTTCATGGGTGCACAATTTGCCGTGCTGCTAACCTGTTACATTATTTTTAGCATAGTGAGTTGCCCCAAGGCTCGATTCAGACATTACAAGCAAATACTGAAGTCATAAACACGCTGAGCTTACATGCTCCCTCTTACTCCTGTTTGCTTCGGTTCTTCTCATCTCTTCCTCCTCATTTGCAGTAACCACCATTCCCCACAGAAATTACGGAGGAGAGGGGCATATGAATTCCACCCTTATTTTTTTTGCCCAGGCTTTCCGTGACCTGCACAATCAGAACCTGATCTGTATGTCTGAATCCCCTAATCCCCATTTTATTGGTTTTAGGCTGCGTTATTAATGCTATTGTTTCTTTAAAAGAACTGTACACCACTTAAATACTGTGAAAATATTAAGCGGTTTATAAATGGTTACAAACAAATCAATAAAATCTCCTGAGAGGTTCGAAAAACAGAAACAATCTACAGTATTTTTAACAATTAAATATGGGACTTTAGAGAAATGTTGGGTTAGTTTGGTCTTCCTTTTAGGGCCAATTCAATTGAAGTGAAGATGTCAACCACTTTGCCCATTCAGAGTATTAGAAAGTACTCTGAATGGACAAATCAATTGACTTCTTCACTCATTGTGGTATGCTATGAATACGCCCACATTGAAGGCAACATTGCAACTCCAAGGCAGCTTTCTCTAACCTGGTACAGGAGTGGCTCAACCAGTGGATGGAGCCATAGCAAGTGTCTCCCAGCCAGTGGTGCTTTTGCCACTTAACAAGGGAGGATGGGGCAAGGCAGTGGCCAGACAGGGGCTGCTTGGGTGCACTAGCAGAAGCATCAAATTGTCTCCTCCAGGGCATCTCTTCAGTCCTGGCCACGTCCCTCCTGGAAAATGGCAGCAATGCTACTGCTGTAACTCCTCCACAGAGGCTTTTCCCGCCTTCCAGATTTTTTTTAGATAAAATCCCATCAGCCCCAGCCAGCATAACTAGTGGTCAGGGATGGTTATAACTGCAGTCAAACAACACCTGGAGGGCACTAAGTTGGGGAACGCTGTGAATGGCCACAAACTAGAGGGTCTACACAAGAAGCTCCGGGCATAAAAAACAGACTTTGGGGGGGTTTATTTTCCAAAATAGCAATCCACTCACAAGTTCGACCGGGCCACTGTCCCACAAATGCCAAAATATACCAGGGAGAAAATTAGTTTGTGCAGTTTCATATCCAGCACATTTTGCATGCGTCTTCAAGGCTGGGTGGTTTCTCCTTTTTTAAAAGAATAAATTCTGTGCTCACTAAATAAATAAAGTCCATACAGCGTTTCAATGTTTTGACTCTTGTAAGATAAACAGCCATCCACCAGCATGATGGCAGCCCTGTCTTCTTTCCCCACATCTTCCTGGCTGGAGCTCTAAAGGAATTGGCAGACTGTTGAAGTTAACAAATCAAAGTTCTTCTGCAGCGTTTGAAGACTTCCAGCTTGCCTCCTCCTCTACGGTAATAAGCATTGTTGCTGCCTGACACCCATTTCCACTAAAGCGCCTACAGCGCCCTTCTTTTAACAAAACAATTTCAAAGGGAAGGTGGCCGCTGCAGTCCTAACTCTGCTAGCTTTCCAATAGGTCAACCTGACACTCGAGGCAAACAAAGCAGCTTTGAAAACAAGGCCCAAATATAGCTAGGGTGTTTGCTCTTCCTGGGATTGCCAACGAAGAGAATGCAGGAGGACAACAAATTCTTAGTCCAGAAAAACTTCCCAAACCAGCTTTCTCTCTCTGTCTTACCTGTTAAGATCAGGATAATGAAAACAGAAAAGACGTCTGGATATTTTGCTAGAATACCAGGAGCATTCATGGACATGTACTGTTGGAAGAACATTCCAATATGCTTGCCTATGAGTTCGTCAAACGTTGCGCTCCATGCTCGGGCCACACTTGATGTCCCTGTCAGAGAATAAAAATTGGGAATTGCTTAGTTGCTTATTTAATACCACACTATATCCATTGATTTCAGGGAAATTTGTTAAACATAAAAAACCACAATTGGTTATGTGATGCAATTGTAAATCAAAGAAATTAACAGTGGAAGATTTGGGGGAGGGACTTCTCGCACTGTGATTTATATGCCGGAACAACACAGGGACTGTTGTCAATCCTCACATGGATTCTTCAAGTTGATAATCCAAGGCATTAGGGTCGGGGATTGGAGATCGTTGGCAACTATCCTCCCCCCCACCCCGGGATAAACATTTATTATTATTATTCACAAACAGAAAGAAAATGAAAGACATAGTTACAATTCATAAACCATATTTTACCAAACCCGAACTCATATATACTAATAAACAACTATATTTTGCACCCATGTGACTTTCCTCCACCACAACTCAACGTTCTTTACTGCATACTCTTATTTACATTGTGTCCTTATGTTGACCATTTTATTTCTATTAATAATTTTACCTTGATTTAGTTCCTCTTTACATACTTGTTCTAAGCATATCAATATGTTTTCTTTAGAACAGTGTTTCTTTATATAATCTTCAAAACATTGCCATTCCTTCCTTAGACTCTGATTAGACTGATTTCTTATGGCTGCTGTTAGTTTGGCTAATCCTATAAATTCATATAATTTATTTATCCAATCTTCCTTTGTGGGGATAGTATCCCCTTGCCAGTTTCTAGCAAGTAATAGTCTGGCTACGGCTGTGGCATATAAGAATAATATTTTCTTATCCTGTAGTATGTCTTTGCCTAAAATGCCTAATAAATATGCCTCTGGCTTCTTTTCTATCGAAATTTTAAACATCTTCTTTAATTCCTTGTGAATACACCCCCAGAAGGTCTTTACTTTCTCAGCCCCACCATGTGTGTCCCATTCCTATGCCCATCCCTCAAGGCTGCCACATACACTTGCTTCTATTAATATACAATAAGCAATGGGGGAAGCCTCTTTCCATCAAATTTACCTTTACTGGCTATGCAAATACTCATGGTTAGACACATACAGTTGTTGATTTATTGGCAAATCCATTCAAAGACTTCTAGAGGATGAGTTCCACATGCTTAGCCCTCATTGACTTAATTCAATTCTCTATCCTCTGCTTCGGAATCTACTGAACAGAACATTGTACTCTGTTCTGTCTCCACCCCCAACGTTCAGCCCGGACATTGAGGTCCAGCAGCAAGGGCCTTCCCTCACTGCGAGGTTGCAGGGAACCAAGCAGAGGGCCTTCTCGGTAGTGGCACCCGCCCTGTGGAACGCCCTCCCATCAGATGTCAAGGAAATAAACAGCTATCTGACTTTTAGAAGACATCTGAAGGCAGCCCTGTTTAGGGAAGTTTTTAATGTTTGATGTCTTTAATATTCAGTTGGGAGCCACCCAGAGGGTATAAATAATAAATTATTATTATTATTCCAATTCTGTAACAAACATTATACCCCATCAACATGCTTACAGCACCAGGGGAAAGCGAGACAGCTATGGCATCTTACCACGAGCCCATCTAACCTTGGCCAAGAAATATTCTTCTCAAGAGCAGCATAGTGTACAGGGGCCAGGGGCTACTCAGAGAACTCAAGAGGTGTGGTTCACGGAAGTGTGGTGAGAAAGGGTAGTAGGGGCAACAGGTTCCGCACCACAAATTCATCTCTCCAATATGGTCTCCCCATTTCAAAAGTTAACAAGGACGGAGTGTGAGCAGACCAGACAGAAACAACAGCCATGCTGCAAAGCCCATGGGGAAAAGTTTGCCTTTCATCGCAACACAACTGCACAGATAGTTTTACATAGGATGGAGCATTAGAAAGCAGTGTCAGGATTCAGGAATTTAGTACCAGAGAGAGGAAAGCAAGAAAATCTGGTTGCACGAGGAAGCAAGGCAAGACTGACCTCTTCTTCTCAAACCGGGGCTGTCCCACCTTTACTGTGGCCAAAATTACTGACTTCAAGCAACTGCTATAGCCATGTGAGCCTCAGTTACTCCCACTGGGCTAATGCACTCAGGTCTACCTGGGGTTTCTATTCCCACTATCCCTGACCACTGGCAATGTTTACTGGGGCTGATGGGAACAGGGTTGTCCAACAATTCTTTATTTTATTTTATTCCTGCATTGCAGGGGATTGGACTAGATGACCCTTGGTATCTCTTCCAACTCTACAATTCTATGATTTCATAAAAAATTTATACTGCTTGATTGTAGTGGGGGGAACCTCAAAGCAGTTTACAATATCTAGGTGGCACCATTTTGGAGGAAGTGATTCAAGAAGCTGTCAGGTTGCTCCGTTCTATAACACAGATGACCACATGAACGCTATGGGCTGGGACTAAGATAGATTATGCACAGTGCTAAAAATGAAGACATTTCACCCTTCAGTATACTGTTTGTGAATATTCCCTGACCACTCGTAGAATGCACTTATGTCCAGTTCTTAAGCTACTAAACAAAGCTTTGAGGAACTGCCTGAAAGGAGGAAGTTATGGCGAGGGCCCATTCTCTGATCAACAAGAGTTGTGTTTTGCAACATTTATAAACACCTACAAAAGCAAGGAAATTCCTTAAAATGATGTGCATGAAAACCAAGGAGATGTAAATAAATAGGGAGCTTTTGAAGTTCAAGATACATTCCCTCCACACCCTTCCCTACAACACCACTCCTATTTCTCTCCTTAAACAAATTCTATCCTTAGAATGAATTCATGCTGTGCTTCAGCAAGTATTTAAAGAAATACAAGCAAAACATTAATATCTATCCTCCCACCTTAACACACACAAAACTAAATGCCTTCTCCTTGCAACAAAAACTGCCCACTGGAAGACTGTACTAAATAGCTTGGATATCATCAAAGACCAACATTGTTCAGCTACATTCCAGGAACTGCCAAGCAAAAACCTGCTTTGAGCGGATTTCAAACCACAGTCGCTATAATGATGCAGAAGTCCCTGAAGGTGCTCCTGGGTAAGTGATGCAATGTCAACATGTTAAATTAATCTTGCTGTCTGGGCATTAAAAAAGCAGTTGTTCTAAATGAAGATGAGGCAATAAACACCCCAGTTCCCTAGGGACACTGCTACAAGGAAAGCCAATTCCTCAATGTTCAACAAAATAAATTTATCAAATTGCATGAACTGTACAAATATTTGGTCTAATAAAAATCAAAAGAGCTTCACTGAGACAATCTACACTTCCAAAATAATTATGGGATACTGCCTTATAGGGACTGTGCCATTTCGGCCTGTAGATTGGGGCGGGGGGGGGAATCACATTCTTATTTGCTGCCTCCGTTTTGAAAATTCTATGCAAGCTTCTAAAACACATACACAAAACCCCTAGTACATCAATGAAAAAGGCCTAGCTCCCTCCTGAATGCACCAGTTTCCTACACACCAAAATTTTTATATAAAAATGCATTTAAGCATGCAATGTCCTCCTACTAACCGGGCCTTAATTTTCACTCACCCTATTCATTCTAAAGCCCTATTAATTCATTCAAAAGGATGTGCAGGGCATGCATGTGCTGGCAGCCACTCCCCAATGCTCCAGTACACACCAGGCACACCCTCTCCTCCCCAAACCCTTACCATGTCAAGCTCTGAAGGGGCTTGCAAGCATGCACACACAACCTCCCTTCAGCATCAAGGGTGGAGCAGACATACACCTGCTCCCTTCTACCTCGTTTAAGGCCTCATGCATTCAAAAGAACACATGAATAGTCTAATTAACTTCCTATAGAACTTTGCGTTCAGCCCCCTCAAACTTGAGCTGTATACAGACATTATACTCACAAGTGAACAGAACATATGAGACGTGTCTGCTAGCACCAGCACCCCTGTCATCCTACACAAGTTGGAAGGAAACCATCTCCAGCAGGGAGATGTAGGCTCCAAGTAGTGCAGCATTCTCCAGGCAGTCTCCATGACGACAAGAGGCTCCCTGCTGCAGACAACCGTCCTCACCTGATGGCGAGGATGCTCATCCACCATCTCACCCCCCTTGCATGTCCTACTGAAGAGCATAATGCCCAAATAAGGCTTCTAGGATTCATCAACCTACATTCTTTATGTACATCAACTTTCCTCGAGCATAGTGCCTTCCAGATGTGATGCTGGGATTCCCAACTCCCATCATTCCCAATCACTGGCTAGACTAGCTGGGGACGATCACCTGGAGGGCAACAAGTTGGGGAAGGCTGGTGTGCATCACATTGCTGCGACGTTCCCTAGGTTCCTCGCAAGAGCCGGTCGATAGGTGGTGACTCAAGTCAGTTTCTGCACTACTCCGCTGAGTCCTGGCTTCCCTTAAAAACAGCACCTACTGACTTCCAGAGAAGTCTCAACTGCATCCACACAAGTCAGGTGGGTTGTGATGTATTTACCTTAGACCCACCCAGACCAGAATGTGGGCACTTAAAACATAAAAGTGTATGTAATTGCTCCTGAACAGGAAGTTGTTAGAGACAACAGTCTTATAGTTCTCGCTTCCGGGCCTAACGTATTGCCTGATCTCTTTTTACACATGATTTCATTATCCCTTTCATCTCGCTTCCTCTCTGCCTGCCTCACAGCCCCCCACTCCCCATTTTGCCACCAACACCCTCAATCTGACACACACAGCGAACTCCACCCAACACTTCCCTGCTCTTATTATTCCACTCACTCTTCTATCAAGGTTATATTTTATCTTTCACAAGTTATTTCCTCCATAATAAAGCACACAGACACAAGGCCCTGACTCTGCATTCTGAAAGTGGGTGAGGCAAGAACTTGCAGCTGCCAGAAGCAAGGCCTTCGCAACACTTGCTCTCCAACCTGATGATGGAAGGGAAGATGGGATACAAATGCAATAAACGGGTTCAAAATCTCTATATGCTTTTACAAAGCTGAAAGGCACTCCCGGCTTTAATTATGTTGCGGAAAATGAAACACTGGCAATTTCTGTGTTTTCTGGCTTGATTTTAACTACTATCCTACTTTTCTTCTTTTTTTGTAAGCAGCTTCGAGTTTCAGAAAAGCAGCATAGCAACATTTTAAGCAATCAATCAATCAATCAGATGTATGCATAGTGATAAATGTTCGTTCACATGTGATCTGTCCCCTTATCAGGTGGTCCCTTTGTGGATTCTGAGAGCACTAATTATCTAAGAGGAAAAGAGGAATCGTTTCACATTAAATCTCCCCAACTCTTCAAATTGCTGGTCAGGAGGCAAAAACGAGAGCTTGCTTATGTGAAATCAATCCAATAGAGGAACCCAAACACAAATCTCCTTTTTGCTGGAACAGAAACTAAAGCTAACAGGGGGATTTCCACAGAAAGATTGGAGCAACAAGAAACTGTGGCCCAATCTAAACACCTGTAAGCCTACTTAAATGGGTTTAGATTACAGCCTTGTTATTTTCCTAGTGAGAGTGCTCCTTCACTCACTATCCGAGCCCGAGTCTGTTACAGAGTCCTCCTTATCCAAATATATTGCGCATTTCCTATTACAACATAGTAACTTGCACAAAGCGCTTTGAACTCTCAAAAAGGAAACTGCAGCTATAAACAGGGTATGAAATAAAATTTTTCACAGATCCTGCTGTGCATTTTGCACAGTATAATTGAAGCAATGGCACAAAAAATTACCCACCGATGACATAGGAGAGAATTAGGTTCCATCCCGTGATGAAGGCCAGCAGCTCACCGACCGTCACATAGCTATAGAGATAAGCTGATCCAGTCTTTGGGACTCTGGCACCAAATTCCCCATAGCAAAGTCCAGCCAGCACAGAAGCCAGAGCAGCAATCAGGAAAGAGATGACAATGGCAGGTCCTGCGTTTTCTCGAGCCACTGCCCCAGCAAGAACGTAGACTCCTGCCCCAAGCGTACTGCCTACGCCAAGGGCAACCAAGTCGAAGGTGTTGAGGCATCGCGACAGCCGGCTGGCCTCACTTGTGCAGTCCACCACTTTCCGACGAACCAGCTGCTGCCCAAAACTAACAAGTCCGTTGTAGGCCATCTTCTTGATGAAACCTGGAAGGGTAGGGAGAGGGAAGGAGAGAGAACGTGCAAATAAATCACTTATAAGTACAGTGGTACCTCAGGTTACAGATGCTTCAGGTTACAGATGCTTCAGGTTACAGACTCCACTAACCCAGAAATAGTAGCTTGGGTTAAGAACTTTGATTCAGGATAAGAACAGAAATTGTGCTCTGGTGGCGCGAGGCCCCATTAGCTAAAGTGGTGCTTCAGGTTAAGAACAGTTTCAGGTTAAGAACGGACATCCGGAACGAATTAAGTTCTTAACCCAACGTACCACTGTATTTGAACCTTCAAAGTGGTAAAGGGACTCCTGACCGTTAGGGTCCAGTCGCAAACGACTCTGGGGTTGTGGCGCTCATCTCGCTTTATTGGCTGAGGGAGCCGGCGTACAACTTCCAGGTCATGTGGCTAGCATGACAAAGCCACTTCTGGCGAACCAGAGCAGCGCACGGAAATGCTGTTTACCTTCCCACCGGAGCGGTACCTATTTATCTACCTGAACTTTGACGTGCTTTCAAACTGCTAGGTGGGCAAGAGCTGGGACCGAACAACGGGAGCTCACCCCGTCACAGGGGTTCGAACCGCCAACCTTCCAATCGGCAATCCCTAGGTTTAGACCACAGCGCCACCCTCGTCTCCTTCAAAGTGGTATTATGCAGAAATAGCTTTGTCCATACACCATCATGCATAAAACAGGATATGCACAACCACAGAAGTCAGTCCATTGGTCCATTTAGCTCAGTACTGCCTACACTGACTGGCAGTAGCTCTCCGAGATGCCAGGGACTGAACCAGGCCGCATTCTGCACAAACTCCAATTTCCAGATTACTTTCACAGGCAGAAAGTGCATCACAATCACCCAAACATGAAGTTACCAGAGCATAAGTCACCATGGCTAGGCTATCTCTGTCCAGCAACACCCATAGCTACTCCATGCCACTCGAGGTCACCTGGGCCTCCAGGTACAAAGCTGGATCAAGGAGTATCCCCTAACTAAACTACTTGGTCTTTCAGAGGGAATGTAGCCCCATCCAGAACAAGTTGCCTATTCAATTCCCAGGCCCAAGTACCACCCAGGCACCGGACCTCTGCCTTGTCAGGATTCAGCCTCAGTGACGAAAGAGAAAAATTTATGGCTTTCAAACAAAACTGCGTTTGATGTTTTGCTTTCCATCACATTGAGAAGCATGCTTTTTTGCCAAATAGTAACCAGTCTCACTTCTGGGAAGTTCTGGGCACTTAGCCCACAACCCAACACATCTAGCTCTGTGCTGAACTGCGGTCCTTGTCTTCAAACAAATGATCTTGCTTAGTTAGGGTCAGGCAATGCTCTGTAACTTATGTGCACACACAAACCAGCTGCAGAAAGCTGCTACCTGGGCAAAGGATTACATTGGGAGAGAGTATGCATCTGAGTACCAGTCACTAGAAACTGCAGGAGGGGAAGAGTGTTCTGGAGCTCGGGTCCTGCTTGCTGGTTCCCCACTGGTGTCTAAATTGCTCTTCCAACCTAAATGTTTGAATGCCTAATAATTTTCAGAAGCAGAGGAAGAGTAGGAGCAAGATCTAGAGAGGATTAGAGTGGTTTTTCTGTGCTTTGCATAGCCTTTTGGCGTTCCCCATGTCTAGTAGAATAATGCTAATATAGAACTATGTGGATTTAGAAGAGAAGAGGAAGAGTTTGTATTTGATATCCCGCTTTATCACTACCCTAAGGAGTCTCAAAGCGGCTAACATTCTCCTTTCCCTTCCTCCTCCACAACAAACACTCTGTGAGGTGAGTGGGGCTGAGAGACTTCAGAGAAGTGTGACTAGCCCAAGGTCACCCAGCAGCTGCATGTGGAGGAGCGGAGACGCGAACCTGGTTCCCCAGATTATGAGACTACCGCTCTTAACCACTACACCACACTGGCTCTCTCAATTAATTTAATTAAGCTTTTCTTCTTGCAGAATTTGGGTTATGTTAGTGCCTTTAAAAAATGCAGACATCAAATTGTGAGATCAGGAAGGGTGAGGCTAGACTGCCAGTTCTGAGTCCCAGTGACATCGTAGGACTTTCGAGGCCTGTTGATTATTCCTTCATTCAAAACAAGCACAAATCCTAACTTTTCATCTTCTTTTCTAGCAACAGCAGATTTTTTTGCAGGGGGAGGGAATCTAACCTTCAACAAAGATAAATGATTTTTTTGTTTAATGTAGATTCCTCAGTGAAAAGGTGACTAACTTTTTTCCTAGTTAGCAAATCCCCCACTGCATGTTCCCCTCTTACAATCAAGAATGGGGAAGCAATTGTTTTTCCAAGAAGTGGGTTACTTTGAAATGCTGCTTATTTAAAACTGTTCCTGCATATGCAGGGGTCAGATATTCCAACCATGTGGACCAGATAGATAGATAGATAGATAGATAGATATAGATTAAATATAGCATATTTATTGAATCCAGAAAGCACATTCGATTGGCTCATTTACATGCCCCCACGGCTACAAGCTCAGCCTGTTCTGCCTAGCCAGATGAATATCTGGTGATATTCATCACCAGAATGTAGCTGTATGGGTTGAATAGCTTCAGCCAGCCATATATATGCATATACATCAGGGGATGCGGGTGGCACTGTAGTCTAAACCACTGAGCCTCTTGGGCTTGCCGATCAGAAGGTCGGCAGCTCAAATCTGCACAACGAGGTGACCTCCCATTGCTCTGTTCCAGCTCCTGCCAACCTAGCAGTTCAAAAGCATGCCAGTGCAAATAGATAAAAAGGTACTGCTGCAATGGGAAGGTAAACGACGTTTCCGTGTGCTCTGCTTCGTCGCGGTGTTCACATGACCTGGAAAGCTGTCTGTGGACAAACACCAGTTCCCTCGGCCTGAAAGCGAGGTGAACGCCACAACCCCATAGTCACCTTTGACTGGACTTAACCATCCAGGGGTCTTTTACCTTTAACCTTTTTTACATCTACATGAAACCAACAGAAGCAAGGAACATTATTTGTGCAATGTCCTGCTGGCTTAAATGCACTAGCATGTAAATTTCCTGTGGGAACAACATTCTGTTTATATGTATTTCACATTTCCTGAGGTACTTGCACTATGCTGAACGACACTGTACGTACAACAGATACTACTGTTTTCTTCAATACCTATGGGCATCTTTTGCCTCTCCTTCTCTCCAGTTAGAATGCTCAGCATTCATCCTTCCCTCCCTTCAGGTTTAAGCCAACCATTTATAACTATTCTGACCACATTCTTCTTTGAACAGGACCTCCCCAGCAGCTCTGCAGCGATTGCAACAAACCGCTCAAATTGCATCATCACTGAGTGCCTCTTTCCTGCAGTGCTGGCAAATAGGCTTGAGTGACAGGCTGTGTGTGCGTGCGCTGTGCACATGTACCCACGCACCTTACATTTTAACGGTATTTCAGTAAGTGACAAGATCAGAACTGAACAGCTTGTCAATAGAAAGCATTGCCATGGCAGCCTCACCCACACACTTATTCGCCTTGCGACACTAATGTCAGTCATTTTATTTTTTAAAAAAGTGGGTGGGTATTGAGCCCAGAGTGGGTACTGACTCTTGCGATATATGTACACCTATTAATGAAAAGGCAATGCAACTTGTGTCGCTTGCCTAATAGCTAAAATTATTGAATGGGGGGAGGGAACTCTTCAATAACCAAGTGAGAAATACTGCTTATAATCAAACTTTCATAATTTTCACAAGAGCAAAAGCACATTCACCATGCTGTTCTACAAAGGGTCACAACGGTCAGGACCTAACAACTACATTCACAATATATACATTAGGGTTGATGTGGCTATGGAGCTACCGGTGTTGCTAGACTACAAATCCCATCTTCCCTGACTATTGGTAATACTGGGTGGTGCTGATGGGAGTTGGGCCCTCAGAAAAAACAAGTACTGAGAATACCGATTCATATCTCCGATATTTAGTGATTAGTGTCTTCAGGCTACATATTCTAAAACTATAGTGAAATCTGGGGGATCATTCTGGAACAGATGGTTTCGGAATTTAATCTGAAGCTCTTAATTTGTACCACTTCTGTGGGTTATAAAGAAAATCTAAAAGGTGGAGACCCCAAGCAAGAGCACAGAGTTAAAACTGGCTGTATAACTCCCAGGTTACCCTTTTCTAGGAAGTGGTCTTTAATCTACACCATCGCAAGGAAGTGTACTTTCAATAAAATCCCTGCCACGTTTGATACACAGTGCATATCGTTCTTAGCTAAATAAGCCGAAGATTATGCATCTGAATAAGTATGTTGTCTTTGATGCATAGGAGGTGGTTTCATTTTCTTTGTGGGCTGCAATTTTCCAAAAGAGAAAGAAAGAAAAGGCAGGCACAGTCTGTGGGTTGATTCAGAAGGCTCGGTAAAAGTGGAAAGAATTCTCAGTCAAAATGGAATGTTCAGATCTTCTAGCAACAAAGGTCCTATGCATCCTGCTTTCTAGATATAATGAGTGTATATATTTTTGAGTGTGCAAGAGAGGGACATAAAACACAAGTATCCACACCCTAGCAATTTTCACTTTCCTTCTTAAAACCTTGGAAATGCAAGGTTTCTCTCTCTCTGCCCCCCCCCCCCGCTCTTCTTTAAATACATAAAATTATATTTCTAGAGCATGATCAATGTACATAGAGCTTGGCAGTTTCCTAACACTTCTTCTGGGAGGAGGAGGGAGGATTTACAGTTTACAGTCTCCCAACCCAGCAGTTTTGTCTCTGTACCCCCAAGCACTTCAGATTTCCTCCCCGCTAGATAGGGGCACAGCTTACCTGCAGAATTCCTCTAAGGTTCCTAGGCCCTCTCTGGGCCACATAACTGTGGCAAAGATTCCTGCCACCACCAGGTTAGGAGGGAAACTGGAGTTTATTATGCTCGCCAGAAGAAAACAGCACACTTGCCATGGAAACTGCAGAACCTCATCACTTAACAGATGGGAAGTTTAATGCAAACTTAGAAAAGGCCACACAACCAACATTTACTGTGGCAAAACCCCCAAGGTGCAGAGAATGAGGCCTACTTCCCACTGAGGTGTTAAACCTGGTCTGCGTCACTTCAGACACGCTGGTGGGGTCCAAACATTTGACTGCTCTTCCAGAATTGTTGGGTGTTTTTTTTTATGGGCACATAGAAATATAGCATGTCTGGAGAAATAGGGGATAGGAAAAGTATTGTGTAGGTTAGCATTCATTCATGAAGGCTCCCTGCCATTTGAAATGTTACTGAAGGTTTACTACCTCAGAGAGAACTAGGCCCGAGTTCTGAGAGGGGGGGACATGGCAGCATAAAAGTATCAGGTCATGCTGTAATATCGCCATGGAAACCAAGAATGCAAGTCCCACAAGCATCTCCTGCAAGCTGACTTAACGGGCAGGGCTCTACTGGACAATACGATTATAAAGAATGTGCTGCGCTTAATAGACTAGGGGTTTTATTGGAAGAACTTAGGCTGGCTAATAATCATCTGGATTATTATATTATCATATCCAGGGGATTACATACCTTATATACAATATTTTTAAAAATCCACATTAATCAGCTCAGTGAGGAGCAGGTTCCACAGCCGTGGTGCCACCACTGAAAAGCCTCTGCCAAAGGATCTCACACCAGACAACTTATTCAGGACAGGGACTATAAAGAAAGCCTCACTGACTGGTTGTAATGTAGAGGCAGGTTGATACAAGAAAAGGTGCTGTCCCATTTGGGTCTCAGGTTTTTCAGGGCTTTAGATGCCAACCTAGAACTGGGCTCAGAAGTCAACAGGCAAACAGCTAAGCTGTTTAAGTAGTAGTGCCACAAGATAATTCCACAGTGATCAACTTAACCTTTGGAAGGTTCTTTGCATATCATTTTGTTTTTAGCGAATATTATTTGTACACCAATTACAATAAATTGACTGACAGGTAAGACAGCTCAAAGTGATCTGCGGGGATGGGGCAGTTTTGGATCTAACCTGCTGACCATATCCACTTCCTTTCCCTGGTTTAAAATCAAGATGGGTGGGGCTGTCACACACAAATTAGGCAGAGTGTGGAAAAAAGTAGAAAAAGAAGGTTTTTCTTTCTGCCTCATGCAATAAAGCTGAATGTCAGAAGATTCAGAACATGTAAAATAGTACTGTAATAGTAATGCATAGTGAAACAGTGGAATTTGCTACCACAAGATGTAGTGACAGAACCAACTTATGACAGTTTTAATTTAAGGAGGGGTAGACACATTCATGGAGCACAGGATGAACACCAGATGCTGGGAAAGATGAGAATGCTACTGTGTTCATGTCCTGCATGCAGACTTCCCATAAGGTATCTGATCAGCCACTTAGGATGCTCTATTAGATGCCTTTGCATCTAATAGATGCAATTGCATCTTTTTACATTCTTAGGGCTGCAGCCTTAAATTAGTTCTACTAAATGTCCTACTTTCGTTTTAACATCTTCAAATTCAAAACAATGAACTCCAATGTTTGTTTTTTGATTTATTCCGTCCTGGAAGATTATAAATTGGCTTGCTCTTGCTATGATTTTAAGTCTTTTATCCTACAACCACATGCGTTCATGCCTGCCTGCGTTACAAGTCACTTGCATGAACACGTCTATAATCAAAGACGGTTTCTTAAGTCATGCATCACACTGTTTTGTATTTGCTTTGAAACTTCGTATTCCTTGGACCTCGTGCATTATCCAAACAAAATTACTTTACCCAGGACAGTGTGTTTGTTTGACAGTACTACCTAAGGAACAACCAGTTTTTGTTAAAACTCCTCCTGCAATGGAGACGATAGCATTATTTTCCTGTGTATCAATAACTTTTGATAGCAAACAATAGGAGTACTAAGAACCGGATTGTGACACATGGCAGACTGCAATTGACTATTAAGTCATACAAACATAGGAGGCTGCCTTATACAGAGTCAGAGCAGTAGCTTAATATTGCCTGCACTAACAGACAGCAGCTCTTCAGGGTTTTCAGGTGTCCAGGATTAAGCCTAGGGGATTTTGCATGCAATGCAGATGTTCAATTACTGAACTGCAACACTTCCACATATGTAAAAGCTGCACTACTGCTTTAAGTGATGCATTTCTCTCTGAGAAATCTTCCTGTCCATTATTTCCTTTATTGTGCTTTTGCCGATATAGGAAAACCATCTTGAGCAAGCTTACTCTCTATTGAAAATCAACAAGTGTGGCTTCAGTGGAACTGCTGGAAGTTGGCAGCAGCAGCTAGTCAAACATCTGCTCTGAAAGACTTTGAAAGCCACTGGAAGAAATTTGGAGCGCCACAAGCCCTTTGAAACAGTTTAGAGATCTAGAAATGTAACTTCTGTACTGATCCGGGGAGAAAATACTCTTCCTGCCGAGATGCGGGACATGTGCACAATCTGTAACTCAGAGCTGTGTTCTGCTCAGAGACATTGTACATAGGCTACAACTGCTTGTCTCCCTTTCACTTCCAATGCTTAAAAAGTGCCACTCCTTTAACTGCAGACGATATTGCGACATGCAGAGTCACTTTGGCAGTGCTAGGAAAGTGCTCTCCACCTGCTAGCATAAGAAAGGCTACTGCCCTGTTATCATCTGAAGCAACTGGCAAAATGCTGCACTGTCACCTTCCCAATTGCAGTATCACTACTGCTTAAAAGGACCAGGCAGTGAGGAGGTTGGGGTAGTACAGCTGAATGGGTGGGGTGTGGCAAGTTCAGAGCTCTGCAAGTGCACCAGTGGAGCCAAACAGGCACTCTCACACAGCCCCAACCTCCCCACCACTATATCCTGGTAAGCAACAGCGATTATGCTGTCGGAACAGAAAACGAGAAATGCCCCTGAAGTCTCAGGAGCCCAATGCTAAATACAGAGCAAGACTACAGAAGCTGCAAAAAGCCTTCTTTAAGCAAAATGATAAAGGTATTTCTGGGCAACTGAGCTGTTAGGTTCTACTGTACTGTTAGCCTGCAGCTGCTCCTACCAATAAAAAAATGTGTTTTATCTGGGCTGTTGAATTGTTTTAGTGGATTATCTTTGGATACAGTATTATCTTATTATTTCTCCAATAGGCAATTAATATTATTTATGTCGTATTGATTTCTTTGGTTGCTGCTATGACAAATAATGCAATTAGTACATTCCCCCCCCCCCCGCCGCCCAAGTCAGGTTACTGACTGTTGGTCTACAGATAATATCCAACTCCCCAAAGTCCAAAGAAAAAGATTGGGGGTGTGGGCAGGGCGTTCCCTGCAGATGTCAAGGCACAAGCCTAGAAGCTCAAAATAGGAGAGTGGAGGCTGCAGACAATCAGGACTTCAAAGTGTGATGTCAGTTGATTGACAGGTGGGTGGCTCCACCAGGGGGTGGAGAAAAGTATCCTGGCCCACCAGCCAGAAAAGGTTCTCCACCACTTCCCTAGATCCATGGTAGAAATTATATGAGATCTGCCTTTTCCCTATTCTTAAAGCAAGTTTTACAGCACTTACTCAAGGGGGAGGGAGCACGTATTGCCCAAGCAAGGACTTTCACAACTCAGGTATCAAGGACTGAGGATTCTCAAGAATGCTGCTCTTCTCCCAGCAGAAAATGAGAGGATCTTTACCTAAAAGGTCACCAGTTGCAAGTTCAACTGTTTGAGAAAGGAGAAGACTGTGCTTATCTGTATTTGTAGAAATGCAGTGATCCCACCGAACAAACTTTGCTTCCCAGTGAATACAAGTGCCTAGACTGAAGCAAGCTGTTTCAAGTAAGTCACCCCCAGCACAAAGCAAACTAAATCTCTGCATAAAATACAAACTCTTACCTACGCATCGCAGCGCTGTATGGAACCCACCTTAAGTCATTCCAAATGTGGCTGTTTTCCTGCAAGAATCTCCCAGCCCCACTAGCTTTAGCTGCCCACTAATGAGGTTCCCTGTTTACTGGTTACAGAGAAAACAAGGTTCTACAGAAAAATGTATTTGCATCTGTTGACCCTGGTGTGTTTTCTAACACACAAAAGGTCTCCAGTTTGAAACCAGGTATTAACACAGGGCCATAAAGCGAGGCAACATGGTTGACTCTGGCGGCAGATCTGGACCCAAGGAAAGCGCCACTCAACTTTGCTGCCACCCCCTCACACGCCATGGTGGCAGTGGGGTGCACCCAAGGAGAAGGAGGGGGGAACGGGAGCGGCAGGCCATGCCCACAGGAACAGTGCTCAAAATTCATCAGGTGCATTTTGCACCTGGCTGATGGCCACTTGTGACCAAGTGAAAATGCCTGGGCCTCAAGATGGTGCCTGCCATCTGCCCCATCTGGAGGAGCATGCCTAGGGATCCTTGAATCTTGACTGTTTTCACACACTAACAACACACAATGAATGCTATCCGTTATATTTTATCTGCACAATCAGAATGAATTTCAGGAACTCAAAAGTCATATTAAAAAAATATGACTTTCGAGCCCTCTGGCCCAAAAACGAGGCATTCCATTCTGGCAACTGTAACCCTGGTTTAAGGGGCCAGTTGGCAGCTAGCTCATATATCTGAGTTTCTAACACTGCACAAGAGCAGTGGGGCACATCCGTGGTGGCGGAGGCACTGCTGGGCACCAGGAGCGGGGGTTGCCTCAAGCGGCAAAGCACCCTGGGCTGGCTCTGCATCAACATGTAGATATTTATAGGGAGGCCCATAGTTCAACTCTAGAGCACATGAGTTGCATGCAGAATGTCCTAGGTTCGTCTACATAGGGCTAGGAAAGACACCTGCCTGGAACCCAGCTGCCCATCAGTATAGACTAGCCTGCTGGCTAAGGCTGATGGGAGTTGTAGTCTGAAACATCTGGAGGGCACCAGTTTGGGGAAGGCTAGTGTAGACAATCCCAGGCTAGCTAGACCCACCATCTGCCTCAGTGTGCATCAGCTTCCTACATCCTTATGCATGCTGGCATAATAGTAAGTGGCAGTGAGATGCAGACTCTCTGTTTTAATCCTTTACCTATCACCAAGTTTGTTTCCAACAGCTGAAACACTATAATGGGAAGGAAAACAAACCCAAACAAAAGCATGAAAGAAAAGGAAATTAAAGGCTGAATTAGGAGGTCACTGTAAAGGCAGGACAGGACCCAGCGTTCCAACAGGCTGCACTGACGCAGGAAGAGTTAATGAGACAAGTAAGCAGAGTAGGGAAAGAGTCACTTTCACAGAAGGCTAATCAGCTAATTAGGAGGAGAGCCAAAACTACATTCTCAATATACCTGGTCACTGTTAATTCTCAGCAAACAAAGACATAACTAGACTGAAAGGGTTATTGCATGTTCCAACACTGTACAGGTTGATGCGCATTTCCTGCCAGAATGCCTCATCAAGATTTCCTATTTTATCATATCTTCTTGTTTTAGTTCCCCCACACCTTCTTCCTTGGAGCAGTTATAGAAGACCCATGCCAACATCAAAGAAACAAAACACACCTGAGGCCAGTTGCTCCTCAGACAAGCAAGCACACAGCTGACAGTATGGTGAACAGCCCCATTTGTGTGTGATCATCGTAACACATGAATCGCCTTACATTCTGAAATGAATACTGGAGATTTCAGATACTCCTTTGAGCCGCACAACCTAGTAGCTCATGTGCTATGTTGCTCATCTGAACAGATTATTCTAATGAGTGAGAAAACATTGTTTGAATTGGTTCCTAAGAAAGCATCTGCAGGCAAAATGTCTCAAAAGGCAAGTGGAAACAAAGCTGTTCTCATATAATTACACCATAATTATTTTATAATCATTATAAAAAGAATCATAATTGCAGAAGTAATAAAAAGGAGGGAAGCTTTCATTAATTTGAAGCAGTTCACACACTTAACACTGCTTTTATTTATTATCTCAGCATCAGGTGAGGTCATTCCAGGAGTTGCGAAATTTTGGTACCAGCTAATATTGTAGGCATGGTACAGATTTAACAAACTATGGTTTGTTGTTACATGCCTTGGGCTTGTATGAACCCCCCTACTCCCCATCACACACAGATGAAGAAAGGAGATTTAAGATTTCCGTTCCTGATTAACTAGAAATTGTAATCTTGTAATTGTGTCCAATCATTGTGAAGTTTGTCAGGTTCAGACACAATGCTAAATTGCATCTAAACAGAATCAAAAGCTTCTGATCTCTTCTTCGTGACAACACTGGAGGAAGGAGGAAGAACATAAACATAAGGCTTGTTCTCACAAAACAAGGCTATGGCAATGTTACAACCCAACCAGTTCACTGTGGCCAAAGGAGAAGGAATGTTGACCAGGCCAAGCATGTATGTGAAACTTTGGATACCTGTTACTAAAACATTCCAAGCGCTAGCCCTGCTTTGTTATTTGTATCCAGTGACTCTGGCTTCAACAAAGCATGCAAAGTTTAGCAGCAAACCAAGAAGAGGAACAACTTTAAACATTGCTTCAGATTGCAACGCAAACTCAACGCAAGTTAATGTTTTATCAATTTTTTTTATTAAAAAACAACAACTAGAATACCTGTAATTGAAAACAAGTCTGTTTTAAAAACTGGACAACTTAAAAGATACACAATGATATTAAGATACAAACAGAAAAGGAGCATGTGCTTTTCATAGCGGACACGGTACCGTCATTCCCCAGAATTTTCAGTTTAAAGGAAATTGCAGAATATAGCATACCCTTGCTGAAGACCTGAAGAGTCACACTGGGTTTCTGATATGAAATCCTGACCTAGAAAGGGCAATATTCTGATGACGTGGCTGCTTATACCCTTATGACCCAATTCCCACAAGCCAAGAGTATCCTCCAGCCGCTTAAAAGTAACTGTGAGGCAAAGTTCTCCTCTGGCTTCCACTTGTTTAGCGGTGTCGCAGCTCGGGTATCAGATTATCTAGGCAGCTTTTGGTCTGGCAGTAGAGCGCTATGGGTTACTTGCAAGACTTCAGAATTTGAATCCAAGCACCATAAGTAACTTTGCAAAAATGAAAGTTGCATAAGTATTGGCTTTCAAATGACACCCTGTTAGTGCAAACCTGCCAAAGAGTTTAGAAGGGATTTGATGAGGGCTTGTTCCTTTTACGTTGGCGCAACTGTGATTCTTGAAAGTACAGTACATTCACTCTTAAAAATAAATAATATGGCATATTTCCACTATAGTAACTAGCAACAACAGCTAGCTTAAAAAGCCATCAGACATCAAGGGTGATTAACAATCCCTTGATACTATCCTAATGTGATTTCCTGCCCCTAACAGCAGCAATTTCCCTTAGAAACTTAAGCAAACAAACTGGATCTGTGCATTCCAAATCACATTCAAAATTTCCACTGCAGTTTAGAGGCAGTAGGCAAAAGTCACTGAAACCAACTTTATGGCTTTAAATGCTGGGCAAACACAAGCCCTCTGTCTTGCCTTATCTGGGCTTCATTACAACTGCTTGTGTTCTAGTTTTCAGGTTTCTTTAAAAGCAGCAAGGAATCTAGCACCTAGGAGGAATATCTGATTACACACCCCAAAAAATGGAAGAACAGATACCTAAAACCAGAGAATTCAGCACACGAGTCTGAGCAGCAGTTCCTACACATCTTATGCCTTGGATTTATTTAGCCCTACCTCTCTGCTCCCTTGCTATTATTGGCAAGGAAGGCCAAGAAGGTTCTTTACCGTAAATAACTGGCTCACTACTTCTAATGTAATCCGTAGGTGAATTGCATCAGAAGGATATCTCGAGCCAAAGTATGAGAGATGCTAATACTGTAGTCCTGGGGCAGTCCCCTCCATAAACACTTAAGACCAAAGGCGGAAATGCACTGTAGTAATGTCTCGCCTCTCCCGCAACAACACACACACACACACACACACACACACACTTACTTGTGAACCAAAAAAAGCGCCATTTAAGGCAGGACGCCTTTCATCCCCAAAGACAAATTAGATCAGCCCATCATATGCCTGCGGTGCGCAGTTGGGGAAGGGGAGAGTTTGCCCACCCTCTGGAAATCGCAATGTGGGAAGGGGATGGTGGAATGGGTGGGGAGGGGGGGGAGAAACGAAAAGGCGATCTGAACACCCCCACCCCAGCCGCATGATCCCCGATTCGATCTACCTAGGCAGGGCGTCCCTTCCGACTTCCTCTACGCCGTGGCTTACACTATAAATATTGCATCATGCACCACGCTGCTCGCAAAATGGATTCCTCGCGTAGCATGTGGCTGAGGTCCGGAGCACATGTTCGCCCAGTGAGAAGGCGGCCGGGCCGGGCGGAAAAGCCAGCCAGCCAGAGAGAGAGATGTGGGCGAACCGGAACCGCGTGTTCCCGGGGCTTCCCCCACCCACCCCCGATTCCCCACCTCACGCTCTCCGGATGAGCCTTCCAACCCTCCCGCTCAAGAGGGCATCCTAGCAAGGCGATCTAGCCGACTTTGTTTTGTACAGAAGCTGGAGGAGAAAGAAAGGGCAGAGGGGCTGCGGGAGAAACCGCTGCCTGGGGGTCACCCCGGTTACTCACCCCGCCTGTGCCCGGTCAAGTTCCTGGTGAAACGGTGACAGCAGCAGCTGCAGCAGCTGGTGGAAAAGGGAGAGAGAAGGAAGGGAAAGGAGCGCGCGGCGACCGAGAAATGGCGCGGGAAGCCGAGTTGCGCCCTCGCCGGCTGCCGCGATCTCAGGAGCGGGCCGAAAAGGTGCTGCCGGTAGCGGCTGAAACTGGCAGGGCTGGCTGCATAGCAAAGCGGTCTCGTCTCTACGCGTCGAGGCGGCTCCTCCTCCTCGGTTGTGAATGGAGGCAGCCGCAGGCGACGAGGGCGGGGAATAAGGCGCGGAGGGGAGGGACTCCGAGCGGCTCACAGCCGGAGTCGCCGCATTCGCCCTTTCTCCACCCCCTCCGGCGGTTTTATTATAGCAAGGGAAGGAGGCGGGAAGGTCGCCGCCGAGCGGGAAGCGGGCGCTCCGCTGCCGTCTGAAGAGAAGGGCATTGAGGGACGACGACGACAGGAGCGTCCGCGGGCTGAGGCGGTCAAGCCAGGCGCAGTAGCCCAGGGCTGCCGCCGCCGCCGCCTCTGCCCGTCCCAGTGTTGGCACGTTTGGAAAGGCGCCCGGGGCACCGCTAGGCGCGTCCCAGGAGGCTGAGCGCGCGCGCGCCTCTCCCGCTCCACACTCAGCATTCCCGCCCACAGGGTGTGTTCCGAGGGCAGGGCTGTGAAGCGCGCCAGCTGCGTCTCGGCTTCCTTCCTTTCTCCGTCTGGCTGTACCCTCCACTCCCCCGCCACACGCACGCAGCTTACCTTTCCTCCCCCGCCCCGGGCTCGGAGGAGGAGGAGGCGGCGGCAAGTTCAAAGCGTCACCGCGTGTGTGTCATTATCTCCCGCGTCACTGGAAAGGCTCTGAGAGATAAGGGGAGGGAGGGAGGGAGGGGGCAGCTGTAGAGAAAGAGCGCGAGGGGGCACGAGAGGGCGGGGGGGGAGAGAGGGGACCTTCGTGGGGACGGACCCCGGCCCACGCTACCTCTGCTTTGCGTTCGTCAAGGCAGGAAGACAGCAATGGGCAATGGCATGCCACACTAGGCTTGCTTAGTTGGGGTGTTCAGCCTGGACGGGTCTGTGCCGTCTAATGCTGTTTTTGTTTGCTTTGTGAATAACCGCTGCTAACAACGTGATTTTTTTGTTATTTCGTTTTCTTCTTGCTCCTTTACAATTCTTTGCCCAACCGGAACCACATAGATATGTATATCAAAATAGACAAGCACATGCACATATATGCACGCACCAGCAACTCAGAGTAACACTTCATGCATCTGATGAAGCGATCTACAGTCTCATACGCTCCAGCATTTCTTCGGTGAAAATAGAGACATCCTAAGGGAAAGCGGGACATTCTGGGATCAGATCAGAAACAGGGGCAGCTTCGATAAATCTGGGACTGTCCCAGGAAAAATAGGGACAATTGAAGAGTCTGCAATCTAAGGACCACCTCTCCCCATATGAACCGACCTGGACCCTTTTCTGCAGTGACTCCCTGCTTGTGGGATGCTCAGGGCCAGATTTAGGTTTGATGAGGCCCTAAGCTACTGAAGGTAATGGGGCCCTTTATATGTCCAGCTGTCCTTTGTCAACAACAAATTGGCACTGTTTTTTTGTGTTGAATATATGCTATATGGTAATTTACTTACCATTACTTACATCATAGGAGCCTACACACCACCTGCTGTATGTAGGTTTTATTTGTTTTTTATCTTATATTTTGGAAATGTGCATCCAGGTTTTTTCCTTTAATTTTTTTTTGGGGGGGGGGGCAAGAGAGTGGGGCCCGAAGCTATAGCTTCTTTAGCTTATATGTAAATCCGGCACTGGTGATGCTCTCCCCAAGGAGGCTCACTAGGCAAAAATCTTCCTCTTCTCCCAGGTCTTTGGCTAATTAAATAACATAATAGCCTTTTAAACTGTAGGGGAGGAGCATTGTTTATGTTTTTTATGGTATGTATTTTTGTGTTTTTCTATTGTAAACTACGCTGTGATCCTCAGATGGAGGGTGGTAAAGACATTTAATAAATTATTTTCATTATTAGAAATCAAAAATTGACACATGGAGCCACCTAACAATTCAAATGTAACACTGAGGGTCTAATTAAAACATGTAACTTGTCACTAAAATTGGTCTCTACCTGATTTAACAGTACAATCAATTTATATTTATAAGTACCGTAAGTTCTGTTGAATTCAATGGGGCTTACTCCTAGTTAGGGGGTTGGGACTGCTACCTGAGTCATGAGTCATTGTGGTTTTATGGAATCTGCCTGAAACAGCTTGCAGGAAGAGACTGTCTTTATTGATCTTACGCAAGCTGCTCTGGAACGCCTTTTATGGAGGATAAAATGCTTTAAATGGATATATTAGAATAGCTATTCTTCAGCTGATCTTCAAGATTACTGTGTGCTGCAAGGGTAATTGCACCCTTTAGCGTAGCTTTCCCCAACCTTGGGTCCTCAAGTGTTATCACAACCCATATCATCCCCAGCCATCATGGCCAATTGTTGGTGGTGATTGGACCTGCAGTTCAGAAAAATCTGGGGGGCCCAAGTTGCGTGAGTCTTTTAAAAAGCAGGCATCAATTTCACAAATGACAATGACACTTCTAATTCTGAGCAGCCTTAGTTGAAAGTCTTAAGAAGTTCAAAAATCTCTACTTCCAAGTAAGCATGTTTACCACTGTAAACATGCAATGCTGTCCAGTCCAGTGCATGTTTCTCAACAGTAGATCCCACCAATTTCAATGGGCTTGGTTTCCATGGATAAGTCATAGGCTTTCATCCTTAGTCTTCAATATACCATTATTATTTTTTGCTGTTTTTACAAAATATTGTAAAATAAGTTTCTCTTTCTTTTTTTGAGTATGTGTTTTTTATAAGGTTGCTACTAATGTAAAACCTGCTTTGTGGCTAAAGTGGGATTAAAAATAAATGGTTCTTGTTATTGTTCTTTGCAAAAATGTAAACATACAACTACCAATCTATGCAATAATGGCATGTATTTCCACAAATCGTAATGAAAAAAACAAGGGAGAAACAGTACACCAGAAATGTCCATCAACCTTATACCACTTTAACTGTCATGGTTTCCCCCCCCCCCCAAAAAAAAAGAAGAAGAGGAGGAGGAGAATTGCAGTTGGTGAGTTGCAGAAAACTTCTGTTTGAGATCCTTGGTCCCTTCTCAAAGAACTAGGATTCTCAGAATTCCCTGGGAAGATGGAATGCTTTAATCAGTTCAAATTTGCACCGTCCATAAGCCCAGGGAGCTTCCATATCTTCCCAGAGTGGCTACACATTGAATTTATAACCACATTTCTCAACATTAACATAAGCCAGGGGTAGGGAAGCTGTGGCCTTCCAGATGTTGTTGGACTACAGCTCCCATTATCTCTGCCCATTGGCCACAGTGGAAGATGGGGCTTGGAGTCCAACAGTAACTAGAGGGTTGCAAGTTACCTAGAGCAATGCTAACCATGACTTTCCTCATGCTGTTGGGAGTACAGCTCCCATTATCATCGTCTGCCATTGGAGATACTGTCGCCGAACCCTGTTAGTAAATAACAAAGTCTGCTTCCATTTCGAGCAATGTAAATATGGACTGCATTTTATACATTTTTGCCTGTGCCCTTAAAAAGTCTTATTATTGTTGTTAATCCAAAAGTTAATATATTCTTAATCGCCTAAGGCAGGCTAAGAGAAAAAATATAATATGCTTAGATTAATGTAGAACTTTAATTCATTTTGAATACACCACATAGCACACCCTTTTCTTAATCTGCAATCTCATCGGACCAGCTCAGAGTAAAAAAAAGGAACAACCCGGTGCAATTTAGATTCTTTTACAAGTCATTTCTTTCCCAGTTGCCCTTCTTATTTATTATATCACTTTTCCCATAGCCCTTTTTCAGTTGCAATGAGAAGAGATTAAGACACAAGTAACAGAAATATGTTTCTTCCACTTAGAATGTACTAACTTTTGATTGAAACGCCTACCTGCATTTTAGAAACGCATTACAGTTTTGGTGGAAAATGCTAGTAGAATTATGCATGTTTTTATCATTTTAAACACTGTTACAAATGAAAAGGACCTTTTGATTCTCTTCCCCACCCCCCTTGAAAAATAGTGGTTTTGAAAAGCTTCCCAGCTGATCTGCCCACTGTGAAATAGCTAATTCAGATTCAGAAAGGTTTGAAACTCCAGAGCCTCAGGTGTGCTCTGATACACAGCTGGGGCTCTTCTGTACTGTATACGACTGTTAAACTCAAAGGAGAGTTTCAGGTGCGCATCAGAAGCTTTATCTGAATGCAGACTGTTGGATCACAGCACCCTGGCTATTGGACTTACATTTAATTGCATGCGGTTTCCACCTGGTTTCAGGATTAGTTAATTTTTCTTTTATCCTGAAACATCAGGAAGGGCTTGCTGTTTGCTGATGGAGCACCGTTTAGAGGAATTTGTGTTTTCCATGGATGGCCCCTTGAACTATTATCGTCATACGTTGCAGAGACTGCTGAAGTTAAACCAATTCTCTCCATAATTGTTAAGCTAATAATAAAAGCATGCCTGATTCTGCAAGGTTTGGAATGATTGACTTTTGTCAGTTTCTGAGGGATTACATTATACAACTTCAAATGAATCATGTATACATCAAATATATATGTGGAAAGAATGGGGGGGGGGGAGGGAATTGCGCCCACGCTCCCACATCAAAAAGCCTTCCTTCTCCACAGAAATAGAACTATCATTACAGTCATTATCTTTTAGAAGTAAAGCATTACAGAAAGGTAGGAGATGGAAAGCTGTCAGCTCTCAGTTTAATAGCTGGCTCTTTTTTTCCTCAAGTAAAGTGGAACTTGCACAACACACTCCTTTGCTCGTGACCAACAAGCATATTCAGCACACATTTAAAGCACATCACTTCCTCCAAATGAAGCCAGGGAACTGTAGTTTGTCAAAGGTGTTGATAATTGTAGCTCTGGGGGCAGAAAGAAACTAAAGTTCCAGGAATCTTTAGAGGAGGCCATGTGCTTTAAATGTGTGGTGTGGGTCTGCCCCCCAATTTTTGTTGTCTCCATTGTCGTTTTTTAACACCTCTCTCTGCTATTTCTGTGTAACACTTCTACCTTCACCCAGATGCTCACACTTCTAGATCCTCCATAGCAAATAGAAGCCAATCCGGTATTTATGGAGCTCTCTTTAACTTCACTTCCGTAAGAGATAGCCTCCTTGTTGCATGCAGGGCCCTTTTCTAACCTGATTCAGCTGCCCCACAAGTATGCAATGTACAATCTAACGTTTTATGTTCCCCCTTCTCCACTGTACACTTGTGTGCGTCAGTAGTGACCTTGACCCCGGCTTGCTACAAGTCTCTGTGTGTGGCCAGCCCGGCCACTGCAGAATGTTTGTCACGATCAACCAATTGGAAAGGGCTATAAGAACAAAATACTGAAGGAGGGTGGAAGGGGGGAAGTAAGTATGTCCGTTGTTGGCTTGGAAAAACATCAAGGTCAGCACTGACACCTGGCAAGGCCCACTGCTGATGTCAGCCTCGGGGCCTCCCTTCAAAGGGGGTGGGGTGGAGAAAACAGTCTGCCCTGGCATTCTGAACAGCTCCAGGAGCTTCGTCTCGCCTCACTTTTAT